CGAGGAAGTAGGGGCAGGGGGTCCCGAGGGAAACACGCAGCCCCCCACGTGGTGCCCTGCACCCGCGGGAGCCCCTCACCGTCGCACACGGCCCCCGCGTCCTCCCGGTGGTGACAGTCGTGCTGGCCCCAGGGCCTGGACGCGCAGAAGCGCAGCGCCGTCTCGTTCCCCCGGCACCGCAGATCGTCCAGGAGGATGGGCCCGGCGCCCTCCCCGAAGAAGGCGCCCCCGGGGGCGGCCAGCGCCCCCCCGCAGCCCAGCTCGCGGCAGGCCACCGCCGCGTCGCGCAGGTCCCAGGCGTCGTCGCACACGGAGCCCCAGCGCCCGCCGTGCCACACCTCCAGGCGGCCCGCGCACCCGTGGGGGCCGTCGGCCAGGCGCAGCCGCGGGGCGGGGCCTGGACGCGGGAGAGACAACAGAGACGAACCGTGAGGCTGGACCCGAGGAAAAGGCTCCACGGAGCCGGGAGGTCCCTCGCTGAGCGTCCAGCCCCCGCCCCTGCCTGCCCAGCGGGGCGCGGGAGGCTGGCCCGGCCACACCATTCTCCTCCCGGGCCTCCCGGGCCCGGCTCCCACCCCCCACCGCTGGGGGCCATCCCCGTCTGAGGGCGCAGCCTGGGCCCCCTCCAGCACATCTGCCCAGCAGCCCTGGCGCCCAGGTGCGGGGCACGCACAGCTGTAAAGCAAAGATGCCTGCAGACCCGGCTGATGGCCCTGGGGCTGGCGCTGGGGCAATCCTGCCCCCCCCCCCCACTCCGCCCCCTTCTCACTGAGAACTAAGGGCTGGTCCAGACAGTAACCTCTGGTTCTAGGGAGCATTTATGTTGGGGTTAGAGCTGCACGCCACTGGGGGGCGCAGTTCATCCCTACCTGCCAATATGGGGGGGCGGGGGGGCTAGCTGGTTTGGCTCAATGGATAGAGCATCGGCCTTCAGACTGAAGGGTCCCAGGTTCGATTCCAGCCAAGGGCACATGCCTGGGTTGCGGGCTTGATCCCCAGTAAGGGGTGTGCAGGAGGCAGCCAATCAATGATTCTCTCTCATCATTGATGTTTCTATCTCCCTCTCCCTCTCCCTTCTTCTCTAAAATCAATAAAATATATAAAAAATATGGGGGGGCGTCACCCCCACTCAGTGCTCCAGGGCAGAGAACGCCTGCCTGCCGCCCCTCCTATGGGCAGGCGCTCCTTGCAGCGTCTGAGAATTGGAGGTGTTAAGGCACCTGTAGCCTGCTTCTCCCCGACAGCATAGCTGAAGCCTCGACTCACCTCCCCCGGGGCCCCCTGTTTCCCACCCTGGGCAGGTGGAGGGACCTCTCATCCGCCAGCCCCCGACCCTGTGTCCAGGCCTGTCCAGCTGGCCTTGGTCCCCACCATCCCCGCCATCCACAATGCACCAGACAAGGGGAGACCTGGGGGGTGGGGGTGGGAGAACCCAGGCTCCCGGCCGCGGACGCACCTGTGCAGACCAGCCCCGCGTCCTCGCTGTGGTCACAGTTGCTCCGGCCCCAGGGGCTACGGGGACAGTCCCGCAGGGCTTGCTCTCCCCCTCCGCAGCCCACGTCGTCCATCCACACGGGCCCTGAGCCGGGGCCGAATCTGGCCCCCCCAGGGGCGGCCAGCGCCCCCCCACAGCCCAGCTCCCGGCAGGCCACCGCCGCGTCGCGCAGGTCCCAGCCGTCGTCGCACACCGTCCCCCAGCGACCCCCGTGCCACACCTCCAGGCGGCCGGCGCACCCGTGGGGGCCCGAGGCCAGGCGCAGCCGCTCTGGGGGACAGACAGGGGCCTGGGTGAGGCAGCCAGGAGGGTGCTGGTCTGAGACCCCCCAACCCCCCCTCACAGCCAGGCTGCAAGGGAGAGTGGGAATCTGATGGGGGGGCCTGGGTGCCAGGAGCAGACACCTGGGGGCCTTGATCGGGTCAGTAGGGGGCCGGGCCTGACTCTGAGTCCTGAGGGCCACAGGTTTTTTGATTGTTTGCTTTTAGCAGTTTTTTAAATTGAATTTTAGAAAAAGGGGAAGAGAGAGGGAAAGAGACAGCAACATGGATTGGCTGCCTCCTGTACCATCCAGCCGCAACCCAGTCATGTGCCCTGAGCGGGAATCCAACTGGCAACCCCTGGGGTCACGGGATCATGCCCACCCCTGGGTCCCACCGGCCAGGGCTCGAGGCCGCAGGTTAGCAGGACACCTGCCCCCCATCTGGGTCTGCAGGGACTCACCCTGGCGGGGGGCTCCGGACGTCAGCAGCGGGGCCCTGGTGGACTTGGCCTGCTTGGGCGGCCGGGGGCTCTTCCTCCGGGAGCTGCTCTGGGGGGTCCCAGCCAGGCGGGGGGCTGGGAGGGAGACAGGAGGGAGGGAGGTCAGAAGCCACTCCCCTCTCCTCCTGCCTGGGGGCTGTGAGGGGCCCTCCGGGGGTTGGGGAGGCCCGGGCATCTGTCTGTCCCCAGGGCCGTCCAGGAAGGCCCCTCCCCTGGCTGAGCAGAAGCAGGTGAGGGCGGGCGGCTCACCGTGTGTCACTGGGGGCTCCTCAGAGCTGGGGCCCAGCTCCCCGGGCAGCCCCGGCCAGGGGTCCCCAACCAGGATCAAAGGGGGGCCATCCGTGTCCCTGGAGTTGGCCACACGCTGACCTGCGGAGAGCCGTGGGTCTATGGGGGGCTGGCCCCAGAGAGGCCGGGCAGGCCCCTGGGTTCTGGAGGGAGAGCCCCGGCCCCTCGAGTTACGGGGCTGAGGACTTGGGGTCCTCACCTGCGCAGACGACCCCCGCGTCCTCCTCGTGGGAGCAGACATGGGCCTTCCAGCCCCGGTGTGGGCACAGGCCCAGCTGCCCCTCGCCACCCCGGCAGGCCAGCTCGCTCAGCCACACGGGCCCGGCGCCCTCCCCGAAGAAGGCACCCGGGGGGGCGGCCAGCGCGGCCCCGCACCCCAGCTCGCGGCAGGCCACCGCCGCGTCCCGCAGGTCCCAGCCGTCGTCGCACACGGTCCCCCAGCGCCCGCCGTGCCACACCTCCAGGCGGCCCGCGCACCCGTGGGGGCCGTCGGCCAGGCGCAGCCGCTCTGGGGGGCGGAGGAGAGGCTGTGATCTCCGGGGGGCTCTGGGGCCGGGCTGTGCTCAGGGTGGGGCTGCAGGCCAGCGCCTGGCTGCTGTGGGGACCCCCATTCCTGGGGCCCAGGAGAGCAGGGTGAGACCCTGGTCCCTGTTGCAAGTGGGTGGCGGGTGATGGGTGTCTGGGTAGTTCTGAGGGGAAAGGGCCTGAGGTCACAGCCGGATGCGGGGGGGGGGGGGGGGAGGCGGGGGGCGGGGGCAGGATCCCGTGGGAGGGCAAGGCCAGGAATGGTGTGGGCTTGGAGCTGGGCAAGGCCAGGAGGGGGGGAGCACTTACCAACCGCCTGGATCCCCATCAGAGCCGCTGGAAGGGAGGGTGAGGGCGCGACACAGTGAGGGGCAGGCCCAGGGTCCTCTCTCAGCACAGGGCCCTGGCCACACACACACACAGACACACACACACAGACACACACATGCACACACACACACCTCTGAACCAACAACCTCCCGCACAGGACTCTGGGCCAAGGCGGGGCCCAGACGCCACAGGTCAGGGCTGGGGACCAGGCCCTGTGCTCCCCAGAGACCCGGCTAAAGGTCGAATGGTGGGTACACCCCCACAAGGGTCAGGGCTGCTGGGGGCGTGATGGGAGGCAAGCAGGTCCCTGGGGCTCCTCAGACGGTGGGACTGGGGGCGCAGAAGGCTGGGTCCCTGGAGGTCAGGCAGGGAGGCACGTGTCCTGCATCCCTGGGCACCAGGAATGGGCCCCGGAAGTCTGAGTCCCTCCAGTGATGAGCTCAGGGGTCAGAGGGCGGGGCCCAGGCCCCTGAGTCCCCGAGGAGGAGGGGGTCACTCACCCAGGAGGCAGGCCAAGACCCTCATGTCTGCAGAGTCCGGGGCAGGGATGGGGTGCGAGGGGGTGGGAGCAGCGAGGGGAGGGCCGCGGCCACGGGAGGACGGGACGGGGACGCGCCCGCGGAGGCGCCCTGGACCCGGGAGGAGCAGGCAGGAGCCGGATGCTTTGCCAGGAGCAAGAGGCTGCCGAGGAGGCAGCAGGGGACAGGAGGGGGCGGGGAGGGGGCTGGCCGTGGCCGCGGCCTGGGGAGGAGGGGGGTTGCGGGGCGGGAGGGAGGGTGTCCAGCTGCAAACACCCACACAGCCGCCAGCTCCCGGGAGGGCGCAGGGATGATCAGGGGCCGGCTGGCTGCAGGGAAGGGACGGACGGACAGACGGGGCGCACGTGGAGGCCGCGTGGGCAGGGCGCCCACCCGTCTGCCTGCTCTCCTCTCCAGCCAGGGAAGCGTGGGGGGACCCTGGCGGAGGGGCTGGAGGCTGGATTCACAGGGGTTTGCTGGGCTTGGGAGTCACGGTTCAACAGCAAGAGGGCTTCCAGCCAGACACCAGGAGGGACTTCCTGAGCCGGGAGAGGAGCCTGAGACACCCTCCCCACTCCGCCGGGATGCACAGCCCCCATCGCAGGGGGAAGCGGTGGAGCCTCTATGTCCCCCCGTCCAGGGGAGCAGGGTGGTGGGTGGCAGACAGAGGAAGGTCGAGGCCTGGGCGGGGAGGCGGCCGCACTCACACACACTCACGCCCCGCAGCAGGCGGCGGGAGGCGGAAAACTTGGGTAATGGGGAGCGTGAGTCAGCCGGCTGGCTAGGAGCGGGCCGCTGTGAGCTCATCACCTCCCCTTCTCCCAGGCCAGCACCCCCGCCGACAATTAATGTCAACTCAGAGGAAGGAGGAGCCAGACGGAAGGGGGTGCGGAGACAGACTGGAAAAGGCATCAGAGAGAGGGAGCCGGCCGCAGCGGTTTCAGGCTTTATTAACAACCGGGTGTAAAAAACCAGATGGGTCTGGCGGCCCTGGGCTCCCACCTTCCCCGGGGGGGGGGGGGGCGTGGGGGGGCGCCGGGCTGCACTGTGTCCACCTCCCCCCCCCCCTCCTCCTCCTCCTCCTTCTCCTCCTCCTCCTCCTCCTCCTCCTCGCGGCCTCTCCAGGAGACAGCTCCCCTACAAGGCTCCGCTCAGCGCCTGGCTCCAGACTCACCCCCTTCATGCACAGGCATCAAACCCACCCGGTTCGCAGGGGCCTCGGCCCTATGTGGGGGGCCCTTGTCCCGAGTCCTAACCCTTGGGCGTCAAACTTGTTCAGCCCCCTCTCCTCCTGGGAGGGAGTCGCTCCCAGGCCAGGCAGGAGCTCGGGAGGTGCAGACCTGCAGCTAGAGACAGAGGTCTCTCAGCGCAGAGGGAGGCCGGAGGCGGGGCAGGCCGCCCTCCCTGAGAAGTTCACACACCACACATGGGCCTCAGCCTGCAGTGGCTGGCGTGTCTCAGCCTCGGCAGGCCTGAGTCCCTGAGCCCTGGGTGGGCTGGGGATTCGCACAGGGAGGATGGGGATGTGCCCGCGCACAGTAGGTGGTCACGCACACAGTAGGTGCTCAGGTTGGAGTCACAGGTCCTTGCTGAACTCCCTCACCAGTGTGTAGCCCATGCAGCCCCAGCCCCCCTCTGCCTGGTAGCCACAGCCCTCCAGCATCCCTGCCACGCCCCAGGCTGCCACAGCCACGGGGACCACAAGGCGGGCTCGGGGCTCCCCCACGTCCCCTGCCCAGGCACGTGCCCGGGACTCTGCAAAGGCCAGCAGCCGCCTGCCCACACCTTGGCGGCGGTGCCAGCGGGAGACGGAGAGGCGGGTGACCCGGGCCCCGTCCCCAGTGTGGGAGCCGGGAGCCAGGGCCAGGACCCCGCACACATCCCCTGAGCCCCGCACTGCCACCCAGGGCCCCCCTAGGCCGCCCGGCGGAGGCAGCGAGCCCCACCGGGCCCGCAGGCCCAGCTTCAGGGCCACCACGGCCAGGAGCACAGGCAGGAGGAGGGCCAGAGCAAAGGAGGCCAGGACGAAGCGCAGGCCGCTGCTGGCCGCCGCCAGGAGCAGCAGGGTGGGCGGCCGTGTCAGGGCGTGCAGGGCCACTCGGTTCTCCGTGTCCTTCACACCAGCCTGTGGGGGGGAGGGGTAGTCAGAGCCAGGGGCCTGGCCTTCCATGACACCAGGGCCCCTGTGGACACCGGGGACTAGGAGAGGGGGGCCCTGGCCACGAGGGACCTGGCGGGGGGCCCAAAGGGGAAAGGAAGGCGTGTGGGGGGGCCCTGTGGCAGAGGGACGGGCAGAGGAGCCCGCGCACAGTAGGTGGTCACGCACACAGTAGGACCACCTGCTCTAGGCACCCACCAGCACCACACCTGGCACACTGGGCTTGGTGTGAGTGAGCGAGGGGATGAGCTGGGAGCTCTGGGGACATCCACTTCAGGGGAGGGACAAGCAGGAGGCACTGGGAAGGCCGAGGCCAGAACAGGACAACTGGACGGGGGCCTGCCCCGGGGCCAGAAACTGCGCTTGCTCCAGACGCCACAGAGGAGAGGAGCGGGGATTACAGGGTTGAGGCCCCTGCGACTGGTCTGAAGAGTGTGGGGTGGTAGGCGGAGTCCCCCAGAGTCCGGGTGTGAAAATCTTCGGACCCCGAGGGAAGGGAGGCGCCAGAAGCGCCTCGGGAGGAGTGCGCCTCCCCGCCTCTCCGGGGCTGGGGCTGGGGCTCAGCCGCCCTCACCTTCAGCATCTCCAGCACCAGCGCCTTCTCATCCTCCCTCATCTCCCGCACCGACAGGTGGCTGGGGGCCATGGCAGCCCCGCGCCCCGGGGAGCAGGCGCGCACCTGGTGAGAACAAGTCAGCATCAGGAAGGCCCTCTGGTCCCCAAGCGCCCCCGATGAGGACGCTCGGGGGACCCCCAAGCGAGGTCCGATCTCCTGGCATCCTGCACCCCCCCACCCAGAGGTCGTGGTGCTCAGCGATCTCCCCCCAAATGACACGCCACGTGGACGCCAACACGGGGCTCCCTCCTGGGCTGCGGGGCTGCCCTGCGGGGGGTCCTCGCCCCGGCAGCGGGCGGGGACCGCGCTCCCCGCGCCCCAGTGCCCCTCCCCAGTCGCCGCAGGACGAGGACCTGCAAACACCCCCGCGAGTCGCTCTGATCCTTTAAGGTGTAGGGGTGCAGGGTCGAGAAGGGGGGGGGTCGCTGGCGGAAGTGACGTCAGACTCGCTCACGTTGGGGGCGGAGCAGTACCTAAAGGCCTTAGCAACTGTTGCCAAGCTCCCCGGCGCTTGCGAGCAGCGCAAGGGCTAAGGCCGGGCGCACAGCCTCCGCCGGGATGGGGTCGGGGAGAAGGAGCGATGGAGAACGGGGACCCGTAGGGCGATGGGGGCGGACACCGGCGGGGAGCGGCACTTACCGGCCGTGGAGGGGGTTCGCACGCTCTCTCCCGGGTTGCTAAGCAACCTGCGCGTGGTGTCGGGGCGCTGGAGGGAGTGGATCGATGCTCATTGGTCCCTGGGCTCTAGCCCGACGGGCTGCGTCACCCTCCCGAGCTCACTGGCTCCCAAACTCGCCCACCCTAGGGCCCTCCGTCCCCGCCCTCCGTGCTCAGTGCCCTTCGGGACAAGCATCTTCCACCCGCTGCTCAGAGAGGGGAGGTGTGGGTGACGGACAGGCGGACCCGCATTCTAGAGCCCGCCCACCCTCCCCCATTCTAGGGACACTGCAGCCTTTTAAGGGTAAACAGAGCTCGCAAGTCACCTGCGAGCGGCATGCAGGAGATGCGCCTCCGGGCTCCCAGGCGGTGGCTCTGGCCGTGACATACCCCCCCCCCCCCCAATAAAACAAAGCGCAGGCGAGGAGACGCTGGTCTTTATTAGCAAGCCCGGCCGCGGCTCTCCTGCCCCGGCCCAGCCCAGGCAGCGTGACGGGTCGGTGTGAGAGGCGGGAAGAGGGCCAGTGGTTCTACTTAAAATGTGTGCACCAGCTGGACCGCGGGCAGAGTCTGGACGATCTGGATGGAGGGTAGGCCCTGCGCGGCCATGCCCCCCGGCGCGGCTCCCGAGGGGACCACCTGTAGCATCTGGGAGGCGGGAGCCGCGGGCATGCCGGCGGGGGCCGAGGCCGGGCTGGGCGGCGGGGCCAGCAGCTGCAGCGTGGTCGCCCCGCCCCCCACGCCGCTGTTCTCCAGCAGCTCCGCGGCCGGGGCGCTGCGGATGATGAGCAGTTTCTGGCCCGGAGGCCCGGGAGCCGGCGGCTCGGCCAGCCCCGAGGGGAGGGTCTCCACCTCCTGCACACACAGCTGGGTCTGCTCGCCGTCCGCCCCGCTCAGCACCAGGACGCTCTGCAAGCCCTCGTCAGTCTGCAGCGTCTCAAAGAGCACGTCCTGCACCACACCCGCCGCGGCCTCGCCCTCACCCGGGTCCCCGGGCCCCGGGCCCGCCAGCAAGTCCTCGGCTGCCCCACTCTGGACCACCAGCAGGTTGGGGGCCTCCGTGGTCACGGCTCCACCACTGGGATTAGGCAGCTGGCCCGCCACTGGCTGCAGCTGCACCGTGGTCACCTCCTGTGCCGGCTGGAGCTGCACCGTGGTCACCTCCTGGGCCGGCTGGAGCTGCACCGTGGTCACCTCCTGGGCCGGCTGGAGCTGCACCGTGGTCACCTCCTGGGCCGGCTGGAGCTGGACAGTGGTGACTTCCGGGGCCGGCTGGAGCTGGACGGTGGTCACTTCCGGGGCTGGCCGCAGGGGCTGGAGCTGGACCCCACTCACTTCCGGCGGCCCGCCCTCCCCACCGCCCACGTTCTGCAGGATGAGGAGGCTCTGCCCTGCCCCGTTAGCCCCCACGTTGCCCCCTCCCTGCACCCCCAGCCCCCCAGGGCCGGGCAGCCAGACTACTCCAGGCCCCTGCCCGGCCTTGCCCACTGCCCGCAGGCCCTGCCGTGCCTGGCCACCCCCAGCCCCCGTACTGGAGGAGGGCAACAGAATGAGCTTGGGGGGTGGGGGTGGGGGCGGGGGCGTGGGGGGCTGCACGCTGCTGGGGATGAGCTGCAGGCCCTGGGCGGTCTGCACCAGGAGGAACGTCTGGGAGTTGGGGGCTGCTGGGCCCAGGGTCGGGGCCTGCCCCGGGCCCCCTGCCACCTCTAGGGAGAGTGTGGCCTGGAGGTGGGGGAGCACGTGGACATCTTGGGTGGCCGGTGGGGCTGGAGCGGCAGCCAGAGGGGCAGGGGCTGGGGGGCCGGCGGCGGGGGCGGCAGGGGTGGCCGGGGCGTGCGTCCTCAGGTGCCGCTGCAGGTAGGCGGCCATGACGAAGCTGCGGCTGCAGATGGGGCAGGAGAAGGGGCGCTCGGCCGAGTGGGTGCGCTGGTGCAGCAGCAGGTTGGAGGAGTGCGTGAAGGTCTTGGGGCACAGCGGGCAGCGGAAGGGCCGCTCGCCCGTGTGCACGCGCTGGTGCTGCCGCAGGTTGGAGGTCTGCGCGAAGCTCTTGCCGCAGACGCCGCAGGAGTGTGGCCGCTCGCCCGTGTGCACGTGGCGGTGGCGCCGCAGGCACGAGGTGTTGCGGAAGGCCTTGCCGCACTCCCCGCACGCGTACGGCCGCTCCCCCGTGTGCAGCCGCAGGTGGTACTGGTAGTGCGAGGACCACTTGAAGGTGAGGCCGCACTGGCCGCAGGTGAAGGCGCGCAGGCCCGTGTGCACGCGCTGGTGGATGGCCAGCAGCGAGGAGCGCTTGAAGGCCTTGCCGCACTCGCCACACTGGTAGGGCCGCTCGCCCGTGTGGTCCCGGAGGTGGTAGCGCAGCCCCGAGGAGCCCTTGAAGGCCTTGCCGCACTCGGCACACTTGTAGGGCCGCTCGGTGGACGCGGAGGCGGACGCGGGCGCCGGCGCCGGGGCGGGGGGCTGCGGGGCGGGCGCGGCAGGGGCCAGCGGCTCCTGCGGGCAGGTGACCTCGGCGGCCTCGGCCTGGGGGGGCGGGCGCCCCGCCGCCGCCTCCTCCACGTGGCACTGCTGGTGCGCCAGGAGGCTGGCCAGCTGCGGGAAGGCGCCGTCGCAGCTGCCGCAGCGGAACGCTTGCCCGCCCGCCGCCCCGTGGCTGTGCTGGTGGCGGGAGAGCCCGGCCACGGTCCGGAAGGACTTCCCACAGGGCAGGCAGGCGAAGCTGGGGGCGGCGGCAGCGGGAGGGGGCTGCGGTTGCGGGGCTGCGGCCGATGGGACCGCCTTGGGCGTCTCTGGGGGTGCGTCGGGGGGCGCGGGCGCCGCATCGGGCCCCGGGCAGGGCTGGTGCTCCAGCAGCAGGTCCTCGCTGCCGAAGCCCAGCTCGCAGCCGTCGCAGCGGTACACCAGCTCCACCGTGGTTTCGGCCGCGGCCAGGAAGAGCTCGGGCACCACGGGCGGGGGCGCGGGCGGCGGGGGCGCGGGCGGGCTGGGCGCCTGCAGGGGCGGCTGCAGGTAGGCGTCCGGGAAGACCTTGGCCGGTGGGGGCGCGGGCGCGGCGGCGGGGGCGGCCCCGTGGGTGCGCTGGTGCAGCTGCAGGTTGGAGGAGTGCGTGAAGGTCTTGGGGCACAGCGGGCAGCGGAAGGGCCGCTCGCCCGTGTGCACGCGCTGGTGCTGCCGCAGGTTGGTGCTCTGGGTGAAGCTCTTGCCGCAGACGCCGCAGGAGTAGGGCCGCTCGCCCGTGTGCACGTGGCGGTGGCGCCGCAGGCTGGACGAGTTCTTGAAGGCCTTGGGGCAGTCGGGGCACGGGTAGGGCCGCTCGCCCGTGTGCTGGCGCAGGTGGTACTGGTAGTGCGACGACCACTTGAAGGCCAGGCCGCACTGGCCGCAGGTGAAGGCGCGCAGGCCCGTGTGCACGCTGCGGTGGATCTGCAGCAGCGACGAGCGCTTGAAGGCCTTGGGGCAGTCGGGGCACTGGTAGGGCCGCTCGCCCGTGTGGCCCCGCTGGTGGTAGAGCAGGGCTGACGAGCCCTTGAAGGCCTTGGGGCAGTCGGGGCACTTGTAGGGCCGCTCGCCCGTGTGCGTGCGCTGGTGGTGCAGGAGCCGCGAGGACCAGCGGAAGGACTTGCCGCACTCCCCACACTCGTACTGGGCGGCCGCGGCCGGGGCGGCGGGGCCCGGCTTCTCCCCGGTGCCCTCGGCGGTGGAGGCCGGCGCCATGTCAGCGTGGGAGCCGACCATCACACCTGGGGGGGGGGGGGATTCTGGATCAGGGGAGGGCGGTGCCCCTCCACCCGGCATCCTCTCCACTCCAACCTGTGCTGCCCGCTCAGAGGCAGGGCACCTCCCACCCAGGGCCCCCCTCCGCGTCTGCCCCAGGAAGCAAGACTTCCGGTGCTCAACTTCCGGCAGAGTGGGACCAGGGGGTCCCCAGCCTGAGGTCAGCCATCTCCGGATGGCCTGCAGGGCTGTGCTCAGTGTCCTTACAGGCCAGGGTCTCCCCAGCACCCTGGCTTCAGACCGTTGGTCCTTCTCCCTGAAAGGACTCCTTTCCCACCGCCCCCAACACTGCAGGGCCCTCAACACCTCTGCTGCAGCTGAGGCCCCTGTGCGCTCCCCCCTCTCCACCACCGCCCCCCGCTCAGCACACGCCCTGGTGGTGCCCGGCCACAAATTCCCTCAACCCCACGAGCTCTCCCATCCACTGCCCTGCAGGCTCTGTGCCTCCGCCCCACCCGAGGCCTCCCTGCCCCTTTCCCAGCATAAGGGCTGCGGGTTCCTTGCAATCATGCCCTTGGACTGCTGGGCTCCTCCCCACCCGCGGGGACTGCTAGTCTGCATCCCTCGGGTCCATTCGCCCCCCAGCTGACACCTGCACGTTTCTCTCCCCGTCAAACCTCTCCGTTCCCCTCCTGCTCTCACCAGGGGACCCTGCCATGGGCCTCGGCATTGGGAAAAGGAAAGCAATCGGGAGAGACGTTCCCACGCTCTAAGCAGGCACTGAGGGTTCTCAGTGGGGCGACTGAGACCCCTCCACAGGGCCTGGCCCAGGGGACATGGGCAGTGCCTGGAGACGGGTCTGGTTGTGGGTGTTGACCGGAGGGACAGGCGCTCCTAGCAGCTAGAGGGGGAGCCCAAGGATGCTGCAGTGCACCCCACAGTGGCCGGGCCGGGACCCACGGCGGAGTGCTGGGGTCCAATGCCAGAGGGGCTGAGGCTGGGAAAACCTCACTATCTGCTCCCCCCACTTGCCTCGGCCCAGCGACCCTGAATCCCCACCTACAGCAAAGTTCCTCATGGCCTGGGCCCTCCCATCAGTGTCACCACAGCTGTCCCTCATCTTTTTCAAAACTAGATATTTGTACTGATTTCAGAGAGAGGGATAGAAACATCAATGATGGGAGAGAATTATCGATCGGCTGCCTCCTGCATGTCCCCCTCCCCCCAACTAGAGATCAAGTCTGAAACCTAGCATGTGCCCTGACCTGGAATCCAACCGTGACCCCTGGTTCATAGGTGGATGCTCAAACACTGAGCCACACTGGCCAGGCTGTCTCTCATCTTTTAAAACCTTCACCCCTTGCCCAGCTTGTGTGGCTAAACAGTTGGGCATCAACCTATGAACCAGGAGGTCACAGTTCGATTCCCAGTCAGGGCACATGCCCGGGGTTGCAGGCTCAATTGCCAGTGGGGGGGCGTCCGGAGGACAAATGATCGGTGATTCTCTCTCATCATTGATGTTTCTAACTCTCCCTTCCTCTCTGAAATCAATACAAATATGCTTTGTTTTGTTTAAAAAAAGAAAAAAAACCCTTCAGCCCTCGCCTGGCTCAGTGGATAGAGCATTGGCCTGCAGATCAAAGGATCCGGGTTCGATTCTAGTCAAGGGCACGTACTTGGTTGCAGGCTCCTCCCCGGCCCAGGACCTGGTCAGGGGCGGGCAGAAGGCAACTAATTGATGTGTTTCTCTCTGTCTTTCCCTCTCTCTTCCACTCTCCCTAAAAACCAATGGAAAAATATCCTGGAGTGAGGATTAAAAACAACAACAAACCTTCAACCACCTCTCCCTCCAGCTACAGCCTCGTTTCTCTCCACCCCTTTGCAGCAAAGCAACTCGAACCTGCTGTCAATACCCACAGCTTCCCACCTCGGACCTGGCGAGCAGGCCTCCTGCCCACCTCCACCGGCCTTCTTGCTTTCTGCACAGCATTTATCCCCTTCTCACCGGCTTTATAATCAGGGTTTCCCAGCCTCAGCACTGTTGTGGCCTGGGGCCGCTCCAGTGTGTGTGTGTGTGGGGGGGGGGGGGTTATACTGTGCACTGTAGGGTGTTTAGCAGCACCCCTGTCCCCTGCCCACTAGACCCTGGCAGCATCTTATTCGCTGCTGCGACCCAGCATCTAGAATAACTCCCAGCACAGAGTGAGAACTCAGTATTCTGACTGAACAAAGTCCGGGCGTCCCCTTTGGACAGGCCATTAAATTCCCTTTAAACAGATGAGCGGCTCCTTTAAAATGTAATCGCGTGGCCCTAGCTGGTTGGCTCAGTGGATAGAGCCTCGGCCTGAGGACTGAAGGGTCCAGGGTTCGATTCCGGTCAAGGGCACATGCCGGGTTGCAGGCTCGATCCCCCGTAGGGGGCGTACAGGAGGCAGCCGATCAATGATTCTCTCTCATCGTTGATGTCTCTCTCTCTCTCTCCCTCCCTCTCTGAAATCAATAAAAATATATTAAAAAAATAAAATTAAACGTATGCGCGTCCTTTTTTTATTTTATTGATTTTTTACAGAGAGGAAGGGAGAGAGATAGAGAACTAGAAACATCGATGAGAGAGAAACATCGATGAGCTGCCTCCTGCACATCTACCGGGGATGCGCCCGCAACCCAGGTACATGCCCCTGACCGGTATCGAACCTGTGACCTTTCAGTCCGCAGGCCGACGCTCTATCCACTGAGCTAAACCGGTTTCGGCTATGCGCGTCCTTTTAAGGGACAGTTGCACATGCCGCTCAGAAGGCCCGGCCTGCCTTAAACGAGAGGCATCCAGCTCGGGAAGGGCCGAGACCTATCTTATCCAATAAAGAGCGCCCCTTGCAAAAGGCCGGACCACGCCCGACTTCCCCTTTAAGAGGGTGCTCCTACTGCACCGCAATCTCCATCTTTGTTGAGCAAAACTAGGGGCTGCTTTGGAGCCACCTGGATGCACAAGCTTTTTCTGTAAATGTCTGCGCCACTGTCACCGGCCTTTGATAATCCTTTCTTGGGGGGAGAGGAGGGGTGGTGAAAGCAGGAAGCTAAGGATCTGCCCCGCCCCCTTTAAAAGCGGCCCCTTGCCCTTTAAGAGGGCGGAGCCGGCCGTGCCGATAAAAGTCGGAGGTGAAGTAGCGCCCTTCCCTTTAAAGCATCCCTTCCGGTTTCACGCTCGCCGCTTCCCCAACGTCTCCGCCCTCCGGTCCCTCCCCCCACCCCACCCCTCCGGTCTCTCACCTGCGGTCCGGACCCGGGGAACGAGCGGAGACCCAGAGACCTCCCGCGGGGGCCGACGGGAAGGCGGAGCCCCGGCGGCGGCTGTGCAGGAGTGGGGGCCGGGGAGGGGGGCGGGGGCGCGCGCCCTCCCAACGGCCCCCGGCGCGAGGCACCCAACCTTTATCGGCGGCCGCTCGCGCACACAAACCCCGACGTCGCCGTCGGTGCGTCACGACGCCACGTGCACCGAAGCCTCATCCTCGCCCCTCCCATTGGCTTCTGGCCTCGGCGGCGCTTCTCCGGGCTTCCAGAGCGCGAGGCATCCTGGGAGTTGTAGTTCCTCTCCGAGCCCGACCGAGGCGTCTTGGCAGTGGTTGTGGGGGGTCAGCCCAAGGCCGGGACAAGCAAGGTCTGGGTGCAGCATGAGACGCCCTCCTTTATCAGTATTGACTCCTTCTCTCTGGGACGGAGACCCTCCTCCGCGGTGTGGATCGGGCAGGCCTCGCCCCCCCCCCCGGGGGTGTGGTCACTCGTGGCCTGGTCGCCACACCCAGGCCCTGGGGCTCCCTTTCCGGGACCTGAGTCCAGCGCAGGGATTGCCGCCCGCGGGGGTCACGCGAGTTCAAGGTTCCGGCCTCCTGCTGTGGACGCGCGTGCGGTTGTGCGGGAACCCGCGCCCTGCAGAGCAGGGGTTGCCCAGGCTCCGGGTCCGAGTCCCAGCCTTCGCCCTGCTTTCCCCGCTCGGCCCCCCCGCCGGCCACGGCTTCCAGCCACACGGACTTTTCTGCGGGTCAGGCAACAGGGCGGCGGTTCTCAACCTGTGGGCCGCGGCCCCTTTGGGAGTCGAACGACCTTTTCACAGGGGTCGCCTAAGACCATCGGAAAACACATATAATTACATAATTGTTTTTTGTTTATGTTTTTAAATATATTTTATAGATTTATTTATTTATTTATTTTTTACAAAGAGGAGGGGAGAGGGATAGAGAGTTAGAAACATCGATGAGAGAGAAACATCGATCAGCTGCCTCCTGCACACGCCCCACCAGGGATGTGCCCGCAACCAAGGTACATGCCCTTGACCGGAATCGAACCCGGGACCCTTCAGTCCACAGGCCGACGCTCTATCCACTGAGCCACACCCGTCAGGGCCCCTGTCTCACACCTGACAGCTGTCACCAGCCGTGGCCGTGTGGCCCCTGATGACAGCCACTGCTCCCCGGCCTTCCCCTCAGCCAGAGGGCCCCGCCACTCGCTGTCCCTTAGACCCGAAGGCCCTCCTACCCCTAGCCCATCCCTTCTCCGCTGCTACGATGCCAGGTGGGGGTCCCCTCACATGCTCAGGGGGACTCCTCTGTCTCTGCCACCCGAGTGTCCTCGACGACCAGCCAGGGCCCGAGCAGAAGCCGCGGTACCCTGCTGCATGGATGCATTTTCCCAGCCTCCTTCACCTTCCCCGAGGCCCCGGGCCGGCTGCAACTCGGTCCCCACGTGAGCGGATCTGGACCTGTTCCCGCGTGGCCTTCCCAAGCCTCCGTGGATTCGTGTCCGTAAAACCCTTGGCTGCAGCTCAGCCCAGACCTTCCTTTCCTTTCCCTTCCGCTCCTACCTCCCCCGCCAGGAGGGAGCTGCTGGAGGCCCTGGGAGGGACACCTGAGCTCCTGAGGGTGAAGGGGAGAGGCCGGCACCAGGGGAGGAGCCCGGAGCTAGACCACTGGCCCCTGGGGTCTGACCCCACCGACATCTGGGGCTGCCAAACGCACCAGGCCCCGCGCCCCTACCCTTGGCTTCCAGATGGAGGGAGGAGCCCACAGCCCCTGTGGATGTGGAATGTGCTGCTCAGTGGGCTGTGGCCTCGGGCCTCTCCCCAGAGGTACAGGGCCCACACCCACCCCTTGCCTCGGGCCACCCCACCGGGACCCTGTAGTATGAACGGAGCCCAGCCTGGTGTCATGGGGTAGGCAGGAGAGGCAGGGCCTCAGCACCTGCCCTCATTAGGCCCTCGTTAGGCCCTTGCTAGGCCAGGTCTACCAGCCAGCCCTGCACTGCACAGGCGATGTGTCCCAGCTTTTGGGACAGACCAGCTCCAAGGGTTGCCTCCTGCATGGGCCCTGACGGGGGGCGAGATCACACCTGCAACCCAGGTGCGTGCCCTTGACCAGGAATCAAACCCGAGACCCTTGGGTGCCCGGCTGATGCTCTGACCACTGAGCCCACTGAGCAGTGCCGGGCAGGTCTCTAATCTCTTCTTATATTATAAGGATGCCAGGCAGACTGGACCAGGTCCCACCCTAACAACCTCATTTCCCCTTAACTGCCTCTTTATTTTATTTTATTAAATATATTTTTATTGATTTCAGAGAGGAAGGAAGAGGGAGAGAGATAAAGAAACATCAATGATGAGAGAGAATCATGGATTGGCTGCCTCCTGCAAGTCCCCCACTGGGGATCGAGCCCACAACCCGGGCATGTGCCCTCCTGACCTGGAATCGAACCTGGGACCTTTCAGTTCCCAGACTGACACTCTATCCACTGAGCCAAACTGGCTAGGGCTTAACTGCCTCTTTAAAGACCTTAGCTCCAAACACAGCGGCATTCTGTTTGGGAAGAAAAGATGGGAAACAAATCCGACAGGGCTGGCCCCTCTGCGTTCTGCGTTGGGGACAACAGGAATCTGCCATCTGTACGTTTTTACAAAACGAAGTCTGTCTGGGACCGGGCGAGAGACGCGGCAGAGAAGCAGGGTGGAGGCGGGAGGGACAAGCCTGGTCTGGGCGTCCGGCTGGTCCTGACACCTGGGCTTCCCCCTCCCCAGATTGGAAGGGGATGGAGGGGTGGGGTCTCCCATCCCAGGTGCAGGGAGGCCTATAAAGGAGGCCGGGGGCAGGGCCCTCTCTGGGCCACTATCTCTGCCCCACACCCCCACGGCTCCCCTTCACTCTGGCCCTCATAACCCAACTCCTACCTGGTCTACAAAGCCCTATGGGTCTGGCCCCTGTTCACTTCTCTACCCTCACCTTTTTGCATGGCTTCGTCTCTCACTCCAGTCAAGGCTGCCTCAGGACCTTTGCACCCACCATGCCCTCTGCCCTCTGGGGGGCTCCTGGCTGCCACCTCTCCTGCTCTGCTTGCAGGACAATGGACACTTCCTCAGAGAGGGCTTTTCTACCTGAAGCAGCACCCCTCCCCCATCCACCCGCCGACCTACTGTGTGCAGTCTTAGCCCCTCCACAGCCCATCCCCAGCTGGGATTTTCTTGTGCGAGGACTCCCTCCCAGGGAATGCTGGGACTTCTGCTCAGGGCTGCACCCTCAGCCTCCACACACAGGAGGTGCTCTGTGAATGTTGGTTGAATGACTGGTACGCGGGAAGGAGCCTGGGAATACCTCCCACCACCCGCAAGGGCAGGTGCACAGACACCAGGCGGGGCCGCCCAGCGGTGGTGATCCTTCACTACCCCAGGTAGGAGAGGGGCCCCCCAGCGCCAGCCGGGGTGTTGGCGCCCCCCTGGCAGGGCGTCCCAGGCAGGTCAAGGCCTGCAGCTCCGGGGTCCTGGGCGTGTTCCAGGCCAGGCCGGGCAGGGCACGGAGCTGCCCAGCGGATGTTGCCCTTGGCTCCTACTGGTGGATGGGAGCCCCCCCTGAGCCCCGGGGGTCCACCCCTTGCCTGTCCCCAGGGCTTGACCACCCGTCCTCCAGAGACCAGTCCACTCCCCCAGCCCATTGCCAAGGGAACCGGACCTTCCCTTCTGGGCCTGAGACCAGTAGGACCACACACACCATACACCACACACCACACACCATACACACACAGACACACAACACCCCCCCACACACACACACAGACACACACAGAAATACAGACACACACACCATGCACACACCACATACATGCAGACACCACACACACACACACACACACACACACACACCATGCACACACCACATACATGCAGACACCACACACACACACACACACACACACACACACACACCCCACCTGCCTGAAAAGGAGACAGAGACGCACGCACAGGGAGAGAGGAACAGAAACGCGAAGCAGGCGTTGAGAAGGGCTCGGAAGCCGACGATGGTGAGAGCTGGGTCAGAGGGACAGGGAAGCCCACGGCGAGGCCCACATGCCTGGGTTCAGGCTCGGTCCCCGTGGGGGCGTGCAGAGGCAGCCGATCAGTGCTTCTCTCATCACTGATGTTTCTCTCTCTCTCTCCCTCTACCTTCCTCTCTGAAATCAATAAAAATAGATTAAAACAAAAAAGGTGCAGGAAGGGCCATGAGCCATGGAAGGGGGCGCCTCTAGAAGCCGGAAGAAGCAAGGGCACGCGGTCTCCCCTGGGCGCCTCCGAAAAACACCTGGATGTCAGCCCTGAGACCCACCCTGGGCTCCTGACCTGAGAACGGAGAGGGAGGGAGCGTGCGCCGAGCCCCCAGGGGCGCTACAGCAGCCACGGGCTCACACCCCTGACCCCTCTCAGAGCAACAGCGGACGGCCGCCCGCCCGCCCCACACTGGGCCGCCCGCCCAGAGACAAGAGGACCCATTCCCGCCCGGCCGGGTGGCTCAGTGGTTGAGCGGCGACCTATGAACCAGGGGGTCAAGGTTCGATTCTCCATCAGGGCACCTGCCCGGGTTGCAAGCCTGGTCCCCGGTGTGGGGCGTGCAGGAGGCAGCGATCCATGATTCTCTCTCATCACTGATGATTCTCTCCCTCCCTCTCCCTTCCCCTCTGATGCCAATAAAGGTATGCTGTTGGCTTTGTTGTTGTTTTTTTAATGAGGACGCCACTATTATTCTAGCGCGGGTGGGGGGGGGGGCAGCCCCACCTCCTGCCAGCCCCACCTCCTGCCAGCCCCAGCCACTCTATGCCTCCCCAAACACTGGCCCTGAGCCTCCCACCGCCCCCTTCCCCCAGCCTGCACCCCAACCTCCCACACCCTCCCAGCCTGCACCCCAGCCTCCCACCCCCCTCCTACCCTGCACCCCAGCCTCCTACCCCTCCCACCCTCTCCCTCCCAGCCTGCACCCCAGCCTCCTACCCCTCCCACCCCCTCCCTCCCAGCCTGCACCCCAGCCTCCCACCCCCTCCCTCCCAGCCTGCACCCCAGCCTCCCACCCCCTCCCTCCCAGCCTGCACCCCAGCCTCCCACCCCCTCCCTCCCAGCCTGCACCCCAGCCTCCCACCCTCCCTCCTCCCAGCCTGTACCCCAGCCTCCCACCCCTCCCTCCCAGCCTGCACCCCAGCCTCCCACCCTCTCCCTCCCCGCCTGCACCCCAGCCTCCCACCCTCCCTCCTCCAATTAAGGGCCCTCAACGCTAACCGCTGCGGTTGACTCGGCTCCTGGCCTTGCATCCCGCCAAGCGAGCCCTTTGTCACCTTAATTGGCATCTCCAGGCGCCGTGCTCTGCGCCCACCCACGCCACCTGCCCATATCCCAGGGCCAGCTATGTGCTAATTGGGCCCATGGGGGCGCACGGGACACCCCCTCCCGGCTCAGCCCCGGCCTTCCTATATCAGCCCCCCACCTACTGCCCCTCAAACCTCGGGTCCAGCTCCCAGGACACAGGGACCAGGAGGGCACAGGAGGGACGCCCCGTCCTCATTGCCTGGGCCCCACCCCCCCACCCCCTCCTGTCCGGTCCACGGCCCCTCCCCAGGCCACCCCTGCCAGTCCTCCGCAGCCCGAGCCCAAGCCCTGGCTGCCCCCCCTCCTCACAGGTTTGGGGGTGCTTTCTGATCCACAGGGACACAGTGGACAGTCACCCCCAGATCACCCAGGCCATGCACCCCGGGGCCCCCACAGCCCCTGGAGTTTCGGAGCCCAGCCCCCGGGAGCTGTGTGCCTTTGTGAGCGGGGCGGCCGCCCACATGCTGCGCGCCCTGCACCCCCGGCGGACCCGGCCCCCCAAGAGGAGGCCCAACCACAGGCGGTTCCTGCACAATCAGATCTGCAGGTGAGGGGGCCGGGGGGGGGGGGGGGCGGGGAGGGGCTGGGGCCCTGAGTCTGGGGAGAGAAGTGGCCCCTGGGGCTGGGTGCAATCAACACTCATGAATTTATTTATATTTTTATTGATTTTAGAGAGGAAGGGAGAGAGGGAGAGAGAGAGAGACAGAAACATCCATGATGAGAGAGACTCATGGATCGGCCGCCTCCTGCACACCCCCCCTGGGGATGGAGCCCGCAAGCTGGGCCTGTGCCCTGACCAGGAATCGGACCCTGACCTCCTAACTCCTGTCCATACTCCATCACTGAGCCAGGCCGGCCGGGCTCATGCATTTATTGGGCACCAACTGTGTGCCCAGCCCCAGAGACCCAGCAGGGAACACAGCAGAGCAAACTCCCTGCCTTCATGGGAGCGTGTCCAGAGCGGGAGCAGCGGGTGGATGATGGGCGCGAGGCTCCCATGTGGACGAACCTGCAAACAAGAGCGGGCGGACCCACAGCCGCAGGAAGCAGATGGGCGCTGGCAGGGCCGGGAGGGGGCGCAGCGCTTGCTGGTGGGGACGGGGCTTGCTTTCGGGGGATGAACAGCTCCGGGACTCATTAGAGGTGGCGGGTGCACAGCTCGCAGAGGCGTGAATGCCATTGGACTGTGCGCCCTGAAACGGCTCCTTTTAAGTGATGTGCGTTTGGGTTCCATTTTTATGTTTTTACATATATTGTTTATTGATTTCAGAGAGGAAGGGAGAGGGAGAGAGAAACATCAATGATGAGAGAGAATCATGGACGGCTGCCTCCTGCACGCCCCACACTGGGGACCAGGCCTGCAACCCAGGCCTGTGTCCTGACCGGGAATCCAACTGTGACCTCCTGGTTCATAAGTCGATGCTCAACCACTGAGCCACACTGGCCGGGCTGAAATGACTTTTTTTTTTTTTTAATATATTTTATTGATTTTTTACAGAGAAGAAGGGAGAGAGATAGAGAGTTAGAAACATCGATGAGAGAGAAACATCGATCAGCCGCCTCCCGCACATCTCCCACTGGGGATATGCCTGCAACCCAGGTACATGCCCTTGACCGGAATCGAACCCGGGACCTCTCAGTCCGCAGGCCGACGCTCCATCCACTGAGCCAAACCGGTTTTGGCTGAAATGACTTTTTAAAGGCACTGTCTCAAGGCATTTTTACTTTTTAAAAAATATTTTTTATTGATTTTTGACAGAAAGGAAGGGAGAGAGATAGTTAGAAACATCGATGAGAGAGAAACATCGATCAGCTGCCTCCTGCACGCCCCCTACTGGGGATGTGCCCGCAACCGAGGTACATGCCCTTGACCGGAATCGAACCCGGGACCCTTCAGTCCGCAGGCCGGCGCTCTATCCACTGAGCCACACCGGTTAGGGCAAAACTTTTTTTTTTTTTTTTTTTTTTTAGAAAAAAATCGCTGGAGGAGTGAGGATTTTCCCCATCCGTTTCTAGAGAGAGTGGAAGGGAGGGGGAGAGACGCATTTGTGCGGCGCCAGCACGGCCAAGGGGGAGCCTGAGAGGGGGCGGTGAAGGATTAGAAAAGACAGACAGAGAAAAAGGCTGGGTCTGGGTGGGACGCTGTCCTCGTCTTTATTTCATAGTAGATCCCAGGAGGCAAAGCAAGGGCGTGACCAAGATGTTTACAACATTCTCCTGGGTTTCAATCCCACTCAGTTACATGCACCTGAACTCTATCGAGCCCACATCACTCAGGCACGTGGGGCCACGGGTTCGGACCACAGGTTCAAGCTCACAGCCACAGCTGTTGGCTATCGCTGTGCTGGGAGGGCCCTGCCCTCCAAGCTGGGACTTGCACGTGGAAATGAGAGGACTGTGCCCTCTCATCAGCCCGAGGCTTGGACCTGTCCAAACCCTGTAGCCCAGTGGTTCTCAACCTTGGCTGCACATGAGAATCCCCTGGGAGGAATCTTTTTAAAATCCCGATTTCTGGCCGAAACCGGTTTGGCTCAGTGGATGGAGTGTCAGCCTTCGGACTGAAGGGTCCAGGTTCGATTCCGGTCAAGGGCATGTACCCTGGTTGCGGGCACATCCCCAGTAGGAGATGTGCAGGAGGCAGCTGATCGATGTTTCTCTCTCATCGATGTTTCTGACTCTCTCTCTCCCTTCCTCTCTGTAAAAAATCAATAAAATATATTTAAAAAATAAATAAATAAATAAAATCCTGATCTCTGGGCCTCATCCTCCGGAAATTCTGTTTCTTTGTTTATGGGGTGGGGCCACACCATTAGTAACAGAGAAACAGAATTTCTGGAGGATGAGGCCCAGAAATCAGGATTTTTAAAAAGATTCCCAGGGGATTCCCATGTGCAGCCGAGGTTGAGAACCGCCGCTGTAGCCGCTCTCCACGCACATTGATTGGTTGCCTCCCGCGCGCATCCCTGCCGGGGCCAAGGGTTGAGCCTGACACGGAGGTAATGCCCTTGCTGATGCTCTAACCACTGCACCACCGGCCTGGGTGCCATTGTTTGCTTTTACCTGTTGGACCCTGCTCACCGCACATCTAAATGTGCAAAGCGCGCAGGCCCCGGTGCTGGAGGAGACACGCTGCCCTGTGCACTCCGCACCCCGCGCTGCTCAGAGCTCCCCTCCCCACGGGCTCCCACATCTGGAACTGCCCGACCCAGAGAAGGGACCCGGGGCAGGGAGGCAGCACCGGGAGGAGAAGGACGGGGCGAGCAGGGACCCCCCCGCTCCTGGGCTCCCTCCGCTGCGCTGGCCTAGCCGCTGCCCCCCTCTCTCCGCAGGCAGTTTGCCAGGATTGAGGCTGCCACCCAGCGCCTGGCCCTGTCCATCCTGTCCCAGGAGGCGCCTCCCCGGAGACCGGCGCCCCGGAGCCCGCCCCCGCCGCCTCCATCCCCCTTCCTGGGCGTGGCCCGCGCGGTGGCCCCCACCGAGGCGCCCCGGGCTGGCCCCCGCCTGAGCCTGGCCGCGCTGGAGGCCTCCAGCCTGGACCTCATCCGGAGCATCGCACTCTCCCCGGAGCCGCCCTCGGTGCCCGCAGACCTTTCCCACCACGCAGAGGGCCAGCCAGACCCCAGGCAGGCCCTGCAACCCTGCGACCCCCTGCGCCTGCCCCTGCAACCCTGCGACCCCCTGCGCCTGCGCCTGCCTCTGCCTCCCTGCGACCCCCTGCGCCTGCCCCTGCCTTCCTGCGACCCCCTGCGCCTGCCCCTGCCTCCCTGTGACCCCCTCCCCCTGCCTGGCCTGGGGGCAGGGGCCCAGCTCCTGGCCCCCGAGGGCGCCTGGGTGGGCAGGTGGGAGGTGACGCCTTGTGCTCACCATTCTCAGGGGGTCCCCGAGGGCTGGGGGGCCTGCTTCCCATGACGCCCAGCCACAGCCCAGCTCAGGCCCTGGACCAGCCAGAGGCACCCCCATGACAGCTCTGGAGCCCCCACCCTCAGCCAGGAGCCCCCCACCCTCCCACTCCTCTCCTGGCAACTTCTGGGGAAATGGCCCAAGGCCAGACCCCCAGCTGAGGCCTGGGCCTCACCTCTGCCTCTTCCAGGCAGGCCCCCTCCTGCTCTCCCTGCCCTCCACCTTCGCCCTTCTTCCTACCCAGCCCCGGCTCCCCAAGTCCTCACCGCAGCCCCCTGTCGCCCTGGCTCATCTCTGCCTGATGTCTGGGCTCATCTCATTTATTCGCAGAGATGCATTGAGCACCTCCTATGTGCCGGGGATTCAGCAGTGAATAAAATAAGCAGGTCTCTGCGTTTGTGGCGTTCACGTCTCGGGGGAGGCAGATCGGGGGGCTGACAAAAAAATGAAAACATGCATACTTTTTAAAAATGTATTTTTTTAATTAATGTCAGAGAGGAAGGGAGGAGAGAGATATATATAGAAACATCAATGATGAGAGAAAACCACTGATCGGCTGCCTCCTACATGCTCCCTACTGGGGATCGAGCCCACAGCCCAGGCATGTGACCAGAATCGAACCCAGGACCCTTCAGTCTGCTCTATCCACTGAGCCAAACCAGCTAGGGCTATGCATACATCTTTAAGCGTGAGATTAATTTCCAATTTCAGGTTGGAATCAGTGCTCTGAAGAGGATAGAACTTCGACCTTACTGAACGGTATCTGACACCGGGTGGTCAGGGAAAGCCTTGAAAGACAAAGAAGAAGCTGGCCATGCGAAGGTCTGGGGTTCCAGGCAGAGGGAACAGCACATGCAAAGGCCCTGGGGTAGAGCCTTGGGGAACAGCAGTGGGGCCAGCGTGGCTGGAGCTAAGCGAGCAGGGGGCGAGGCGGGGAGAGGGGAGGTGGGAGAGGTTGACAGAGGCAGCCATGAACTAGGAGTCATTTGGATTTCATTCCAAGAATGAAGGGAAGTTCTCTCTCTGTCCCTCTCAACCCCATTTCCAAGCAAACAGTCTACATACTGTGACCACCACCCTAGGAGGCAGGTACTGTACAGATGGGGAGACTGAGGCTTCGGAGAACACAGATTGAGGGGGAGAGGGGTGGGGAGGATCTTTTTTGTTTGTTTTTTAATCCTCACCTGAGGGTATTTTTTCCATTGCTTTTAGAGTGGAAAGGGGGGAGGAAGAAGGGAGAGGGAGAGAGAGGAACAATCATGTGAGAGAGACTGGTTAGGCGCAGTGGTTCTCAACCTTCCTAACGCGGCGACCCTTTAATACAGTTCCTCACGTTGTGGTGACCCCCGATTTCATTGTTACAAATTGAACATAATGAAAGCGTAGTGATTCATCACAAAAACAATATGTAATTATATTATGTTTTCCGATGGTCTTAGGCGACCCCTGTGAAAGGGTCGTTCCACCTCTCAACCCACAGGTTGAGAACCGCTGGGAGACTGGTAGCCTCCCCCACGTGCCACGATAGGGGCCGGGGATCGAGCCTGCAACCTAGATACATTCTCTTGACCTGGAGTCGAACGGGAAACCCTTCAGTGCTGGGACCAAGGCTCTAACCACTGAGCCACCGGCCAGGGGTGGGGAGGATCTTCAGCTCCAGGCTTCATCGCGCCTTTACCCTTTTCCTGGAAAGTGCTTGGGTCGCTGTAAGTTTCTGTCCAGACAAGAATTCGGGGGTTGGAGTCCCAGGCCCTCCCTCCCCTGGGCAGGGCCCCCCCACTCCTCTCCCAGCCTCGGGGTCCGGAATGTAGCGAGCGGCAGCCAACACCCACCTTCCAGCTGGAGTCCGCCTTCTCCACCCTCCGCGCGCTGCTCCGCCCCGCGCCCGCCACTCACGCCCTAGATAGCCACCTATTGGTCAGGTGCTGGCTCCCCGCCCCTCAGCGTGGACCAATCACGCTTTTAGAACTGAAAACCAGCGGCGCCTGCAGATTGGGCAGGCGCGGGGGCGCGGGCAGAGCTCGGAGAGCGCCGATTGGGCGGCTGGGCCAGAGGGGGCGGGACGCGATGCCGCGGGGCTGGGCCACGTGACGCGACCCTGCCAAATGGTGAGCGGGCTGGGCGCCGGGGGGAGGCCCTGGCGGCGCAAGTCCGGGCGCTGGAAGGTGAGTGACCCGGACCCACCTGCGGAGGGCGGCGGGCCGGGCTCGAACCCAGCGCCTCCGGGGACGCCCGCCCGGCCCGCGGGAGACCGCGCTTCCCGCCTCCTCGCAGGTGGGAACCGGGGCTGAGCCCGGACGCCCCCTGCCCAGGGCGCGCGGCCGGGGAGGCCTCCTGCCCCGCGGGCTGCTCGGGCTCTCGGACCCTCCGCGGGCCGCCCCGCCCTCCGCGTCCCGGGACACGTTTCCCCTGGTCCCCGCCGAGTGGGTGGGTGGACCCCCTTTCTCCGCGAAGGAAACGGAGGTGCAGACAGAGCGTGACACTTGCCCCAGTCACCCAGCCCGGAAGTCCGCCTGCAGGGCGGGGGTCCCCCGAGGGCTCGCGGGGATCTAAGCAGCCCCCCACCTGCCCCCCTAAGTTGCTGCCCCTCCTCGGGCCGCCCCGCCTCTTCTAGCCTTGGGCGCCCCCGACGCAGAGGTCCGTTCTGGACCGTCCCATCCCACCCCCGCGGCACCCCCAGATCTGCCTCCAGCTCCGATCTCCCCACATTCACACACACACACACACCCTCCCCCAATTTTTCATCTTCTCCCCCATACCGGTCTCCCTGTCCAGGTCCCCAATTTAATCCGCAGGCCCTGCCAGCCGTGGGTCAGAAACCGGGGTGACGTCTCCCCTCACGCTTGCCCCCCGGGGTCCCAGCCCCAGTTTCCTCCCGGGCCTCGGCCTCCAGTCCAGCCCCCCAGCAGCCAGCGGGGTCTCCCCATTTTATTTTATTTTACTTTATTTCCCCCCCCCCCATTTTATTTTACATGCTGTCTAAAGCAGCGGTTCTCAACCTGTGGGTCGCGACCCCTTTGGGGGTCGAATGACCCTTTCACAGGGGTCGCCTAAGACCATCGGAAAACACATGTATAATTCCATATTGTCTTTGTGATGAATCACTAGGCTTTCACTATGTTCCATTTGTAACAATGAAATCGGGGGTCACCCCAACATGAGGAACTGTATGAAAGGGTTGCGGCTTGAGGAAGGTTGAGAACCGCTGCTCTAACGGCTTTAAATGGAAGCGCACCACATAACGCACGGCAATGGCCAAGTCACAGACACACAGCTGAGGTCACTTCACGCAGAGTGAGCGCGCTGGTGTACAGTCGCCAGATTGACAAGTCCAGCACCCCCCACCCCCCGGGAGGCCCCCCCCCCAGCCCCGTACCCCTCGGCCACTGCCCGCCCCGAGCATCATCCTAACTTTAACGCCACGGGCAGGTTTGGCCGAGTTCTCACTCTATGTGGGTCTCTTCCTGGGCCGATTTATTCTTTCCCGGCTGCACAACCTGTTACACACTGTCCAGCACTCAAAAGGGACAGCTCAGCGCAGCGAGAATCAGGCCCACACTGTCCCTCGGTGACCTGTCCCCCCATTCCCCCCACCCCCCCCCAGTCCCTGCTGCCTCCTGCCTGCCGGGAGCCGCTATAGATAGCAGCGGGACACATACCTTTCCCCTTCTTTTTTGGGGACACAAATGGGAGCATCGGTGTACAGGCTGTTCTGCGCCCCCCCCACTCCCGCCCCGTTACCATCTTTGAACACCTTTCCTCTTGTTACTTAAAGAGCTTCCTTGTCATCTGTCCTGGCTGCTCAGAACCCCACAGCGTGGATGTGCCATAGCTTACATAACCGTACCCTCATCTCGGACGGTTAGAGCGACTCGGAGTGGAGGGAGCCGCGTGGGCCGAGGCCAGGCGGGGTGCGGTGGTCCCTGGTGTTGGGGAGGCCCTGAGGCTGGGGGGGGGTCCCAGGGTCAGCTTTGTCTTTGCAGAAAGATTGTTCCCTTTCTCTGTTCACTCCCTCGGAGCCCCTTCCCGACCCCCAGGACTGGCCAGGTTCCCTGGGCACCCCAGCACCGGGCACGGCTGTGACTGTGCCATTCGTGAACTGGCTGTGGTTGGTTTTGGAGGGCGTCTCCATCCCACTGTGTTTTCTTGAGATAAAACTCACATGGCATCAGATCTGCCATTTGCACCCTTTTACTGCTTGTTTTATTAAAATATATTTTTATGGACTTCAGAGAGGAAGGGAGAGGGAGAGAGACATCAGCGATTCGAGAGAATCATGGATCGGCTGCCTCCTGCCCTCTGGGGAGCGAGCCCCCAGCCCACTCATGTGCCCTGATTGGGAATCGAACCGGGACCTCCTGGTTCGTAGGTTGACGTTCAATCACTGAGCCACACCGGCCTTGCTTTCCAAGACCCGGGAGGAGTTCAGCTGGCTGTTCACACCTGGGGGAGCTGAGTTTCCGAGGCCAGCGCCGGTGGGGAGCTGCCCGGAAGGCTCCCAGAGCACCGCCCCTCTGCCCACCGGGTCTCGAGGAGGGAGGGGGCAGCCCAGGAGGCCCCGCTCTTCTCCCTCAGAATCACATCCCGCCCCCTGTGCTCCCGGCAGTGGGCGCAGGGACGGGTGAGGGCCACCCTTGGAGCCTGAGGTCTGGTGGCACAGTCGGTAATGGGGATGCAGACACCCTCACACCCGCCCAAAGGGCAGGAGGCTGCCCAGGGCTCCGGGGGAGCGAGTCTGGGATCTCGGGGATGGACAGGGTCTGAGGAGACTTCCCGGGAGTGGGAACGTGACCGCCTGGCTGAAGAGGACACACACGTTAAAAAGCAAGTGGCCCAATCGACCTGGCTCAGTGGTTGAGCGTCGACCTAGGACCCAGGAGGTCACGATTCGATTCCCGGTCAGGGCACAGGCCCGGGTTGCAGGCTCGATCCCCCGTGTGGGGCGTGCAGGAGGCAGCCGATCCATGTTCTCTCATCATTGATGCTTCTGTCTGTCTCTCTCCCTCTCCCTTCCTCTGTGAAATCAGTAAAAATATTTTAAACAATAAAAAAGCGTGTTCCAGACCTGGGAGCAGCAGGTGCGAACTGCGGGTGGAGAGCGGGATTGGGTGCAAGGTCTAGGTGCAGGGACCCGGGGCGGGCAGAGAAACCACCCCCCGCCTGACCCCGGCCGCTGCCCCCCCTGCCCTCCCTCAGAACATGGCGGCTGCAAAGCCCAGCCTGGGCCGGGTCCTCCCTGGGTCGTCCATCCTCTTCCTGTGTGACATGCAGGAGAAGTTCCGCCATGTCGCCTACTTCCCCCAGATCGTCTCTGTGGCCGCCCGCATGCTCAAGGTACTGGTCCCTCCTCCCTCAGACCTGGGATCCAGCCCCCTCCTCCCTCAGACCTGGCCTCCAGCCCCCTCCTCCCTCAGACCTGGCCTCCAGGCCCCTCCTCCCTCAGACCGGGCTCCAGCCCCCTCCTCCCTCAGACCTGACCTCCAGCCCCCTCCTCCCTCAGACTGGGCTCCAGCCCCCTCCTCCCTCAGACTTGGGATCCAGCCCCCTCCTCCCTCAGTCCAGGGATCCAGCTCCCTCCTCCCTCAGACCTGGGATCCAGCCCTCCCCTCCTCCAGACCAGGGTCCAGCTGCCTCTGCCCTCAGACCAGGAGATCCAGCCCCCTCCTCCCTCAGACCTGGCCTCCAGGCCCCTCCTCCCTCAGACCAGGGCTCCAGCCCCCTCCTCCCTCAGACCAGGGCTCCAGCCCCCTCCTCCCTCAGACCAGGGCTCCAGCCCCCTCCTCCCTCAGACCAGGGATCCAGCTCCCTCCTCCCTCAGACCAGGGCTCCAGCCCCCTCCTCCCTCAGACCAGGGATCCAGCCCTCCCCTCCCTCAGACCAGGGATCCAGCCCTCCCCTCCCTCAGACCAGGGGATCCAGCCCCTCCCTCAGGTCAGGCCTTTGTCCCCCCTCCGGGCACAGGTGGCCCGACTGCTGGAGGTGCCAACTGTGCTGACGGAGCAGTACCCGCAGGGCCTGGGCCCCACGGTGCCCGAGCTGGGGGCGGCGGGCCTGCAGCCCCTGCCCAAGACCTGCTTCAGCATGGTGCCCGTGGCGCGGCAGGAGCTGGACGCGCGGCCGCAGCTGCGCTCTGTGCTGCTCTGCGGCATCGAGACTCAGGCCTGCATCCTGGTGAGACCCCCAGCCGCCCCCCAGGAACCCCGCTCATCTGAAACCTCCCCATCCTCAAAGGGACAGCCTGTGCCCGCCCTGAACCCTCCATGCTCCCGGCCTGACATCTTTCCTGACCCCTGAACCCTGACCCCTCCTGAGCTGAGACGTGATCCTCACTCAGGAGGACTCCTCTCCCCTGGGGCGCCCATGCTGCTCTAGGACCCCATTGTCGGGGTTGGGGAGGTTTCTGCCCTGCTCTGGCTCCCTCATCCCATCCCAGTATTCCAGTCCCCCACCCGGGACCCCCGTTCCTGGCTGGGGTTGGCCCTGACCTCTCTCTGCCCCCAGAACACAACCCTGGACCTCCTGGATCGGGGGCTGCAGGTCCACGTGGTGGTGGACGCCTGCTCCTCCCGCAGGTGAGGGGGTCCCCCGAGGGGTGGCTGCACGTGGGGTGTGGACGGGGCTCCCAGGAAGAGCCCCGTTTGCCAGGGGCCCGGGGGTCGGGCCGCAGGGCTGACACCCCCTCTTCCCCTGCAGCCAGGTGGACCGCCTGGTGGCACTTGCCCGGATGCGACAGAGCGGCGCCTTCCTCTCCACCAGCGAAGGCCTCATTCTGCAACTGGTGGGTGACTCCGCGCACCCCCAGTTCAAGGAGGTACTGGCTCCCAGTCCCCCACCTTCCATGCACCTGGCAAATGTCTCCTCGGCGCCCACCACGTCTTTTCGGAATACATCCGGGAACATACGCATCCTGGAACACAGAAGGCTGCCGCCTCCAGAGGGGTTCAGTTCTCGTGGGGAAACACCCCGTCAACCATAAATCAATAAGAGAAGCTGCTGCTGGTGGGCAGTGAGGACTGGGGAGAGAGAGAGAAGGAGAGAGAGGGGGGGAGGAGAAAGGGAGAGGGAGAGGGAGGGAGAAGGCAGCGAGGGGCTTGCACAGGGTGGTCTAGGAAACCTGGGAGGAGGTGACTGAGGCCTGGAGGGCGCCAGGCAGACACAGGAAAGAACCGTCCAGCAGGGGCCCTGGAGGTGGGGCCCTGGGACCCTCCACTGCTCCCCTCCTCCGGTCACTGGCTCGCAGGTCCAGCCCCCGCGCCCACCCCCAGTGGCTTCCCCGGCACGCAGGCCTGACCAGGTGGCTCCCCCTGTGCCCACCCTTGGCCTGCAGGAGCGCAGGACATGCCCAGATTTGACATTCCTGGCCCTCGGAGCGCTGCCCTTTCCTCTCTTCGTTCTGCTGAGCCTTTATTGAGCACCTACTGTGTGCCAGCCACTGGGACAAGTCCTGGGGCAACAGCAAAAGCCAGTCAGTAACCCGTTACACACTGTGGCCTGGAGTGGGAAGGGGACATGCAGAGAGCGTGAGAAACAAGACAGTAAGCAGCAGGGCGGCCCTTGGGGGCGGGGGGGCGGAGGCCTTGAAGTGGAGACCTGCCCGGGGAGGGGCAGCCAGTCATCCAGAAAGTGCTCCTGGCAGAAGGACTAGCTGGGGCAAAGGCCTGGCTGGGGGGGGGGGGGGGGACCTGGACTTGCCTCATTCCAGGGACTGTATCAGGCCCTGAGTGCTGGCGAGTGTGGAGGAGGGGAGGCCGGGGGAGCCAGGCCGTGACCTCAAGGCCTTGGGATTTTAGCGAGGGCAGCCACGGGGACTCGGACAAGGGAGTCGCAGTAGGGGGCGGGGGGTGTCAGGACCCAGGGACACCAACATGGAGGCGGTGAGGATGCGGGCTCTGTGTATTTTTGTTTGCTTTCTGCAGGCTATTGGGGCTCACTGGTGGGTGCAAGGTGGGGCTTTGGGAGAAGGCACCCAGAGAGGGGCTCCAGGCTGGTACCTACCGAAGGGGAAGGGCTGAACCGAGAGTTAGAGAGGTCAGGGGGCAGCCAGCATCCAAGAGGCAGGTGGATAAATGAGCCTGGAGTGGAGGGGCAAGGTGCCGACTGGAGTTGGGAGTTGGGAGAGAAGAAGAAAGTATAGACACGCCCCAGGACAAAGCCCATCACTCTTTCTGTTAATCCCAAGCAAAGGATATTTGTCCATTGATTTTTAGAGAGAATGGAAGGAAGGGGCAGAGACAGAGAGAAATCTCAATGTGAGAGCGACACAGTGATTGGTTGCCTCCTGCACATGCTCCGGGGATAGAGCCTGTAACTGAGGTACATGCCCTTGACTGGACTCGAACCCAGGACCCTTCTGTCCGCCGCCTGGTGCTCTATCCATTGAGCCACACCAGCTGGGGTCAAGTCCATCATTCTTTTTTTTTTTTTTTTTTAATATATTTTATTGATTTTTTACAGAGAGGAAGGGAGAGGGATAGAGAGTTTGAAAATCGATGAGAGAGAAACATCCATCAGCTGCCTCCTGCACACTCCCTATTGGGGATGTCTCCACAACCAAGGTACATGCCCTTGACCAGAATCGAACCTGGGACCCTTGAGTCTGCAGGCCGAGGCTCTAGCCACTGAGCCACACCGGTCAGAGCTAAGCCCATCACTCTTAGCAGCCCAGGCCAGCAAAGCAGGCGAATGGCCGGTGATCGGAGCTAACCCGGGTGGGCAGTGAGGGCGGGCGGGCAGTGAGGGCGGGTGGGCAGTGAGGGCGGGTGGGCAGTGGGGGCGGGTGGGCAGTGAGGGCGAGGCCCCGGGAAAAGTCCTGAGGAGAGGGAGCGGTAGGCGTGGCCATTTGCTGCCAAGAGGGCAAAGGAGCTGAGGGAGCAGTGCCCCTCCGGTCTGCCCCGCAAATGGGGACCCCGGGTCCTCCCTGACGCCCTCCTCCCTCTGCAGATCCAGAAGATCATCAAGGAGCCCGCCCCGGACAGCGGGCTGCTCGGCCTCTTCCAAGGCCAGAACCCCCTCCTCCGCTGAACCCCGCTCGGCCCCGCGGGGAGACCTCCCTCCTGCCTGTCACCGGCCTGGGGGGAAGCGCTTTCCCCGTCCTTGGGTCCCTAGAGTGGTGCAGTCCACCGGGAGCGCCGCCCCTCGGGAGGGGAGGCGGGTGCTGCCTTGCTATTGGGCGGCAGCTCCCGGAAATGCAAATGAGCTCCTGGCAGCCGATGGCCGTTGGCTGGGCTGAGCTGGGGGCGGGGCTCGGCCCCGGGCCCCTTCAAGGGTTGGGAAGGGGCGGGGGAAGGAGTGTCAGGGACTGTGTGGGACCTGGGCTCGCGGAATAAACACCGATGTGGCTGTGGACCGAACCATTCTTGGGTCTGGGGGGTGCCCCAGGGGCGACGGGGGGCTGCGGGCGGCGGGGAGAAGGGTCCCCAGCAGGTGGAGAGGGGGAGGTGCCTCTTCTCAGCTGCCAGCGGGCGCCAGGAAAAGGCGAGGGCTGGCCCCATCACAGCTGCTCGGGAAAGAAGTGCCGGCAGGGTCGCCCGCGCGCCGCCAGCCGCCCCCCCGCCAGCGCGCACGCCCAGCCCGGCGGCTGCAGACACGCGCTCGCGCTGCCTCCCCCGGCCGGCCCCCCACGCCGCCGCCACCCCAGAATCCCCAAGGGTCCCGCATCGGAAAGTGAGGTGAGCGCGACCGCACCCGGTGCGGAGGGGGAAACTGAGGCACGGGGTCGTGGGGACGGGAGGAAGGAAGAGACTGGCATGCGGATGAATGGATGGGAAGAAGGACGGACACCTTTATCTGAGTGGTCCCTGCGCCCTAAGACGCAGCGGGCAGGGGATCCACATGGGGGCTCCCAGAATTCTGCAGCTCTTAGAAATGTGGGAGTCGGGATTCTACTGATCCCCCCCAATACCGCCCCCCCATCAAGGCCCCTCGACCCCTTGAGACTCGCAGTCCTTGTTCCCCATCCACCCCCAACCTTGGGGACCTAAGAAGGCAACCTCTGAGTCCCCCAAGAATCCAGGCATCAGAGCTCACAGTCAGTCCGCCCCCACTGGGCAACCAGAGCCCACCAACCCCGAACCCCAGACCCCCCGCCCCCCCGCAGAAGGCTGGGAGCGCGCATCAGAACACCCAGCAACCCTCTCCCCAGGGACCTAGGAGTCCCAGCTCCTTCCTCCGGGAGCCCCTGGGACCCGGCGTTGGCGCCCCTGGCCCCCGCCTTCCGCATCCAGGTGTCCCCCCCTCCTCACCCCGCAGGCAGAAGCTTCGCGTCCGGGAGGCCGCGCTCGCGTCGCCATGGCAACAGGAGTCTATTTTGCGCTAGGAACACAGCTTGCTCTGCAGCGCCCCCCTACCCGCTCCTCCAAACTCAGCCGAGAGAGAGTAGGGGGACCGGGAGCGAGATTGGGGGTCCGGGGGTCGGACACAGAGACATGCACAGGGACAGAGCTCTGTAGACAACAAACCTGGGAGAGAGACGGACGTGGGATCAGAGAGGCACAGCGATGGGCGTGTGCGGACCTGGAGACACAGACGGGACAGAAAGACGGACGGGAGGGAGCAGCGGGCGGGGGATGCCGGCGGCCAGAAAACCGAGACTCGGGGAAGGGGCGGCGAGAGGCGCAGCCGCGGGACGGAGACAGACGCAGAGATGCGGGCGAGGAGACGCGTCTAGACACCCGCAGAGACACCAAGACCCAGGGCACCTCCCCTTAGAGACCAGAGGCCGCCCCGCGAGGAGGATGGACCGGGGGGCACGGCCACCCGAGGGCCTAGGGACCCGGGGGCCGCAGGGACGGGGTCTGGGCCGCCGGAGTGCTGTGTGCTTCGGAGTTCACGTCTCTCCCTCAGTCCCCGCCTCCCGGCGGCCGCAGGGGGTGGGAGTGGGGGAAGTGGGGGCGGCAAGCCGGATCCCCCCCCCGACACTCCCCCAGGACCCCTCCACTTCCCCCACCTGCCGGTCCGCCTCCTCTTGGCAGCTTCCCACCTCCCAGCCCCAAACCAGCCCCCCCCCCCTCGGCTTGCGGACCCCTTGTGCTTCGTCCGCCTGCCCCGACTCTTCCTCAGCACCCCCCCCCCCCCCGCTGCCCCTGCAGACCCCTCCAGCGCCCAGCTCCCCAGGGCCGGGGCGCACTTTTTCTCTGGGCCTCTGCCCCCCCCCCCCCTCCCGTCCTTCTCCCTGTCCTCCCCATCCTGCTTCATCTCTAATCACTGCCTCCAGGCTCCTCCCAGCCAACTCACCTGCCCCCCTTTCCCCCCCAGCCCTGACTCCCACCTCCAGCCGGCAGGGGCAGGAGGGGGAGGGGCCAGAGGTTGGGGCAAAGTGCAGTGCAGGGTTGCAGGAGGAGGAGGGGGGTTTCCAGGAGCGCGAGGACCAGTGGGGCCTGCTGGGGGACACCCCTATCCTCCAGCTGGCTCCCCTAATCTCTGTCCATCCATCTGTGTCTCTTAGGGCCGGGGGGGGGGGGGGGCCAGCAGACCTCTGGCCCTGAGCCGCTGGGCATGCACGGTGCAGGGAGTGGGGAGATGGGGCTGGGGGCCCCCCCTCCTCTCCACCTGTGGAGGAGAAAAGTGTGTGTGAGTGAGCAGGGGTGGGGGCAGGGGTGCAGCTGTGTGTGTGCGGGGGTGTCACATGCCTGCTTCCAAAACCTCCTCCACTGGGTGAGGGTGTGTGTGCACACGTGTGTGTGCACCACAAGCTTGCATGACTTGGGGCTGTGATGTGTGTGGTTGCGTGTCCATCCGTGTGTAGCTGGCTTGGGCTGGTCCTTGCCCGTGTTCCTGAGCTGTGCATGGCCCCAGTGTGTCATGGTTGTGTCTGAGTTGTGTCCGGGTCTTGCGTGCTGGGGGCTGTGTCCACGTGGGGCTGGGTGTGTGGGGAGGCGGCTGCACGGGTGTCCTTGCAGGTTGTGTCTGGGACGCTGTGTGTGTGAGTTGGTTGTGTGAGCTAAGGGACAGACTGGGTCCCCTGTATCCTGGGTCTGATGGGCCACTCTGTCTGCCCCTGGGTGCGTGTCCCCTTCTCACCAGTAGGTGCTGCCCTGCGTCGCATTGGGAGGCATGAGGCTGTGTGTGTGTGTGTGTGTGTGTGTGTGTAGGGGGGTGTCTGGGTTTGAGGGGCTGTGTTGCTGCTCCCCGCTCCCCCCCCCCCCAGAGTTGTCAGTGGCCTGGAGCTGTGTCCCCTGAGTGTGTGCACCGATGTGCAGTGGGGGATGCTGTCAGCAGAGGGGGAATGTGTGTCCATGGAGCCAGGGGGCGGGGCACAGCAGGGGGCCGGAGCAGGCACTGCTGCCCTTCCCGAGCCTCCCTACAGGTGAGGCATTTGCCCCGCCCCATGCGGCTCCCCCGCGGCTGTGGTGGGGCAGGTAGATGGCAGCCTTGCCTGAGCCTGAAAAGGATGCTCCGTCCCCGATGCTCTCAGCCCAATCGGCACACCTGAGGGAGGGGAGCCCCTCTGGGCTCCAGCCAGCCCCTTGCACACACCCTCACCTGCACCCTCACCCTCACCCAACCACAGGCGGCAGCCCTCAGCCAGTGGAGGACCCACGCTGCTGTGTGCACGTGGCGCTGCTGGGAGGGCTCCTCTGCGTGGGATTAAGTCCTCTGCGTCCTGTGGGTGGTGAACCCTGAGGCCCGAGCTCCACGCCGTGCCCACTGCTTGGGCGCCGTGGGGCTCAGGCAAATGAGGGACCTGTTGGGACGCTGGTGTCTCGTTTGAAGTGTGTGTGTGTGTGTGTGTGTGTGAGAGAGAGAGAGAGAGAGAGAGAGAGGAAGACACACACGCACACGCACTGACATCCCTTGATTATTAGATCCAGATAAGAGAAAGAACCAAGCGTGCGGGGCGACTGGGGACCACGGGGGTCTAAGCCAGTGGTTCTCCGCGGGGACAGCTGTGCCCGTGACATCTGGCGGTGCCTGGAGACATCTTGCCCGTCAGGGCGCCTAGCGGAGGCTGAACAGCAGGCCCCGTAGGCCAGCGGCACCCACCCAAGAACCCACCCCCTCTCCCCACCTGCTGGTCTACAAACTCAGCTTCTCAACTGCAATCTCTCTCTCTCCCCCGCCTCCCCCACCCACACCTCTCTCTCCTGTCTCCCTCATCCCCTCCCCCTCAACCTCCCCCCTCCTCTCTCTCACCCCATCTGCCCTCTTACTCGCCATCACTCACTCCCGTCATATCCGTCCTGTTTCTTCCCACCGTCTGATGCCTCCTTCCCAATCTTTTCTCCCATCCATCACTCCCGTGGATCCTTTCCATCCACCCTTATCATTTATCATTCTGTTCACCGCTGCCCCACCTCCACTGCCCGGTGCGCCTCACCTCCACTGCCCGGTGGGTCCCCCAACCTTGGGCCCATGCCTCTCCCCTCCACTCATCCTTTCTGTCAACCTCCCCTCGCGCTCCTTCCTCATCCTTTCTGGCCACCCGTCTCCATACTTGCCCACCTTGGACCTCTCTCTCCCGCCCTCCGCTCCAGCCTCGGTTCTCCGCTCAGCCTGGCGGCCCCGTCCAGCCTCCTGCGCACCCCATGCCGGCCCTCCTGCTCCTCGGGACCCTCCTGCTCCTGGCCTCCGCCGCCGGCCAGGCCAGGGCGCGCCCGTCCAACGCCACGAGCGCCGAGCCCCCGGGCCCGCTGCCGGCCCTGCTGGCGCACCTGCGGCGCCTGACCGGGGCCTTGACGGGCGGCGGGGGCGCGGCGGGCGCGGGCGCCAATGGCACGAGGACGAGCCCCGCGGGCGCGGCGGCGCGGGCGCCCCCTCCGGCCGAGCTCTGCCACGGCTACTACGACGTCATGGGCCAGTACGACGCCACCTTCAACTGCAGCACCGGCTCCTACCGCTTCTGCTGCGGCACCTGCCACTACCGCTTCTGCTGCGAGCACCGCCACATGCGCCTGGCGCAGGCCTCCTGCTCCAACTACGACACGCCGCGCTGGGCCACCACGCCGCCGCCCATGGGCGGGGGCGCCGGGGGCGCCGGGGGTGCGGGCGGGGGCCCCGGGCCCGGCCAGGCCGGGTGGCTGGAAGGGGGCCGGGCAGGGGGCAACGGGATGCGTGGGGGCGAGGGCCCCGGGGGCAGCACGGCCTACGTCGTGTGCGGGGTCATCAGCTTCGCCCTGGCCGTGGGCGTCGGAGCCAAAGTGGCCTTCAGCAAGGCGTCCCGTGCGCCCAGGGCGCACCGGGATATCAACGTGCCCAGGTGTGTGCGAGATCCGGCAGAAGGGTAGGAGCCTGGGGCGGGGCCTGGGCAATGGCAGGTGGAGCCATGGGGGGCGGGGCTGCGGGTGGGGGCGTGGTCAGAGGCCCAGGCGTGAGGGAGGCTCACGCCTCATTCATTCAACAAATGTTTCTTGAGCGCTTTCTGCGGGCCAGGACCTGGGGATACAAGAGTGAACGATATCCGATGGGTAAGCCTGGCTCCCCACCCCAGGCCTGCTGCCAGTGGGCTGTGTGGCGCCGGGCAATTTGCTTAACCCGTCCGTGCCTCAGTTTCCTCGTCTGCACAATGGGGCTAATCAATGCTCCCCACCCATTCGGACTGTAATGAAGATGAACTGGGTTGATTCACGTCGAGGCCTGGCACACGGAAAGCCCTCAGTAAACGCTGGCTACCGTTGTCATAAAATTTAGTGCCCGAGACAGTGAGCAAGCAAACACATATGCAATATCCTTCTAGAGCAGCGGTTCTCAACCTGTGGGTCGCGACCCCTTTGGGGGTCGAACAACCCTTTCACAGGGGTCGCCTAAGACCACCGGAAAACACATATATAATTACATATTGTTTTTGTGATTAATCACTATGCTCTCATTATGTTCAGTTTGTAACAATGAAAATACATCCTGCATATCAGATATTTACATTAGGATTCATAAGAGTAGCAAAACTACAGTTATGAAGTAGCAATGAAAATAATTTTATGGTTGGGGGTCACCACCACATGAGGAGCTGTATTAAAGGGTCGCGGCATGAGGAAGGTTGAGAACCACTGGAATCTAGAGACTGGTAACTAAATAAAGCAGAATGAGGGGTTGGGTTTGGGGGGGCGGGGGTGTTTTATAAGACCTGGCCGGGAAAGGCGGCTCCGAGCAGACTTGTAGGAAAGGAGCATCCCAGACAGAGGGAACAGCACGTGCAAAGGCCCTGGGGTGGTGGTTGCAGGACAGCATAGGAGCCGGCAGAGCTGAGAGGAGGTGGAGAGAAGTAGGTGGGGGCCAGGTTAATTCCGGGGTGATGGGGGAGCCACCGAGGGCCCTGAGCTCAGGCTGTGCGGGGAGACGAGGCTGCACAGGACAAGGGCGGAAGCAGGAGACCAGTCAGGAGACTCTAGCAAGGGTCCGGGCGAGAGAGAGAGAGAGAGAGAGAGAGAGAGAGAGAGAGAGAGAGCTGGGAACAGCGGAGGTGGTGAGAAGTAGACCCATGTGGGAGCCACTTTGCAGGTCGAATCTGCAAACTTGCTGAGGAACGTGAGGGAAAGAGAACCCCAGGGTGGTTCTAAGATTTGGGGTCTGCAGAGCTGGGTGAATGGGGCACCCTTTATCCCCTGGGGAAGCTGCAGAAGAAACAGGATTGAGCTCCCAGGCCGCGGCGGGGCGGGGCCACGGGACGGAGACGTGGGCGGGTCCCCATCGATGGGGAGGGGCCTCAGGCAGGAAGTGTGGTCCCAGGAACCTCTGGGCGGGCAGAGCTCAGAGTGCCCTTAGCGAGGGGCGTGGCCAGAGGCCAGTTGACAGATGCCCCCAAAGGTGAGGACAGGGAGGGGAAAGAAGCCGGGTCCCCCCTCCCGCGCCCCCGACCTCAGGCCCCTGACCGCCCCTCTGCACCCCCTTAGGGCTCTGGTGGACATCCTGAGGCATCAGGCGGGACCCGGGACCCGCCCGGACCGGGCACGGAGCAGCTCCTTGACCCCGGGGGTCGGGGGTCCTGACAGTATGGCCCCGAGGACACCCAAGAACCTCTACAACACCATGAAGCCCTCCAATCTCGGTGAGTGGGACCTGGGAGCTGTGGCGGGGCCTCTGACCACGCCCCCATCCCTGTGGCCCCGCCCCATCCGGCTGGCCCCGCCCCCAGCCACAGCCTCCAAGATGAGAGGGGCAGTGAGAACCGCCACCCTGCCTCCTGTGGACACCCTGGGTGGGCGCATGGACACCAAGGTGACTTAGATTTAGACACTCAGCCGGAGCTGGACAAACTCCACGTCAGACCACCCGACAGCTGACAACACACCAGGAGGCGCCTAACTGTTGAATTAGAATTGGGGGGGGGGGGGGCGGTGAGAAGGGAGCAGACCACTGGGGTTGGCATGCTGGCTCTGCTTCTGTGTGACCTGGGAAGCCCGTGCCTCACCCACAAGATGAGGAGCACACAGCGCTCCCTGTAGGGCTGTTGTGAGGGTCTCAGAGCCGTGCCTGGCTCAGAACACGCGCTGTGTCAATGTGAGCTGCTGCTGTTCTTATGCTAGAGGCCCGGTGCACGAATTTGTGCATGGACAGGGTCCCTTGGCCTGGCCGGGAGGGACCTCCGGAGGTTGGCTGTGGGAGCGCACTGACCACCAGGGGGCAGCTCCTGCATTGCACGTCTGCCCCCTGGGTGGTCAGTGTGTGTCTTAACTACCGGTCAACCAGTCCATCTGCTGAGCGGTCATAAGGGTCGCTGAGGGCCATGGGTAGCCACAGAGGAGTTTAGAGCAAAGTCAGAAGTGGGGGGAGCTCTGTTCTGTGGAGGGGAGAGGCTGGGAGGACGGTCCAGGCCTGAGCTGGGTCTGAGGAGCAGTAATAAGAGACATTCAGCTGGATCTTGTGGGATGAGTAGGAGTTCTGCAGGCAAAGGAAGGGAGGCAGGGTTTCAAGGCAGAGAGAACAGCAGGTGCAAAGGCCCTGTGGTGGGCCTGAGAGGACTCAGGCAGGCGCCAGAGAGAAGGGCGGCCTGAGAGGAGGGGTGGGTGGTGACTGTCCCGGGTGGGTGGTGCGGAGATGTGGGAAGAGTGCCGGGCAGCGGAGGGGCAGGTGGGGTGTAGGGGTCCCGTGGTGGGGCTGACCTTGGACATGGCTGGCCAGGGCCAGAAGGCTGGTGTGATGATCCAGGAGGGCGAGGAAGGTCCCGGCTGAGATCCAGGAGGCAGGCGGGGCCAGAGCTGGGCACAGCAGTGCCCGCTGGGAGTGGGCGATGGCGGTGATGCCACCTCCCTGCTTGGTCCCCACAGATAACCTGCACCACAACTACCTGCACCTCAACGTCAACAGCCCCAAGCACCACGCCACCACGCTGGGTATGCGCCAGGGCCGGGCAGGGGACACAGGGCCCCTCTCCTCCGCTCCTGAGAGCACCCCAGGGGGGGCCGGGGCAGAGCAGGTGGGAGGCCCCCTGAGCCTGTCCTCACGTCCAGCCCGGTAACCGAGCGAACCTCCGCTTCCCACTTGGACACCGGAAGTGGCCGTCTCTGTCCCACCCGAGTTGGTGGGAGATGCAGGAGTCTACCCCCCTGCCCCCCCGCCCCCCCGGGACAGGGCACACAGCGGGTGCTGAGCCAGGGCCCGTTGCCCCTCCTCCTGTGATGTTCCTCCTTCCCCAGCAAAGAACCTGTCTCCTGGCGCCGGCAGAGACAGCCTGGACAGCGGGAGCTCTGAGGGGCTTGGATCCCAGATATATAACTCCCTAAGGGGCTGAGAGCTGGGCTCCTGGGTCTGAGGGAGGAGGGGCTGGGGGCCTGGGTTCCTGGGTCTGAGGGAGGAGGGGTGGGGGCTGGGCTCCTGGGGCTGGGGGCCTGGGTTTCTGGGTCTGAGGGAGGAGGGGTGGGGGCTGGACTCCTGGGGCTGAAGGAGGAGGGGCTGGACTGACCCCAGCTGTGCTCTCTGCCCCAGACTGGAGGGCCGCCCCACCTCCCAGCCCCAACTTGCATTACTCCACGCTGTCCTGCTCTCGGTCTTTCCACAACCTCTCGCATCTGCCCCCGTCCTACGAGGCTGCTGTGAAATCCGAGCTCAACCGCTACTCCTCCCTCAAGAGGCTGGGTGAGTCCCGGGAACGGCGGGGTCAGGGCCAGGGCCCAGGTTCAGGACCGCGGACAGTGGCCCAACAGCTTTCTAAGGGCTTATTTAGCGCTTCCCCCTACAAGTTTGTTCCGGAAGCACATTTGTATCAGAATCACCTGGGGTGGTTTTTAAAATGCAAATTCCTGGTGTACCCCCCCCCCCCCCGGGTCTACTGTATTTATCAGGACTTGCATTTTCAATGAACAGAAATAAGACTCATGCATATTCTCTCTCTCTCTCTCTCTCTCTCTCTCTCTCTCTCTCTCTCTCTCTCTCTCATACACATACACACACACACACACACACACACACACACACACACACACACACACACACACGTAACTAAGTGAGCTTGAGAATGGGCCGGGAGCTTCAGGTGTGGCTGGATCCAGGTGCTCAGGAGCTGCCTCCAGGATTCTACATCTCTCAGCTCTGCTAAACAGGGGGCTGGCTTCATTTTCAGACAGATATCTCCCCATGGCTGCAAACAGGGACCTGAGAATTTCCAGGTTGCCATTCAACCAGCAGAAAAGAGTCCCCTCCAGCCCCAGCCGGTGTGGCTCAGTGGATAGAGCGAAGGGTCCTGGGTTCGATTCCAGTCAAGGCCACGTACCTTGGTTGCAGGCTCCTCTGGCCTGGGCCCTGGTCTGGGCTTGTGCAGGAGGCAACCATTCGATGTGTTTCTCTCACATGGATGTTTCTCTCTGTCTTTCCCTCTCTCTTCCACTCTCTCTTAAAAAATCAATGGAAAAATATCCTCGGGTGAGGATTAAAAAAAAAAGTCTCCAATGATTCCAGCAACAATCCCAGGCGTGGGTCCCATCAGCCCAAATAATGTCACACACTCATCCCTGATCTATTCATTGAGACTCTACTGGATATTTCTGGCTCAGTGGCCCACCCTTTCAAACATTTTAAACTGAGAGCCAAGTAAGAAATGCTTTTAACATTATGGCCCATGAGATGCATGTATATTTGCACATTTTTAAATACAGGAAACTGTTGGAACTTGTTATTAAGAACATTTTTGGAAGAATTTATCTCAATCTGTTGAGATCTTGCTTCTAGATGTATCCTCTGGCTCAAATAACTTTTTATTAAAATTCTCTTTATTTATTAATAAATTTTTATTGATCTCAGAGTGGAAGGGAGAGGGAAAGAGAGGCAGAAACATCAATGATGAGAGAGAGGCACCAATTGGCTGCCTCCTGCATGCCCCACACTGGGGACTGAGCCCAAAACCCAGGCATGTGCCCTTGACCAAAATCGAACCCAGGACCCTTCAGTCCACAGGCCGTGACACTCTATCCACTGAGCCACACCCGCTAGGGCTTAACATTCTCTTTATACAAGAACATTTCAAACATACCCAAGAGGAGAGAAGACTGTCAAGTGAACCTCCATGTTCCCATCATCCAACTTGAACAATGAGCAACACTTGGTTATCCTATCCTCCTTCCATCCCATCTTTCCGTGGATCATTTTAAAGCAAGTCTCAGGGTTTATGTCACTTCATCCGTTAACATTTCAGTAACACACACACAACTGAAAAAACATATGAGCCAGCACTCACCCTCGCTCGCTTTTGATGGGGGGTGCCTGCTGGTGAATAGCATTTTCTCTGCTTCTCAGTCCTCGCCCTCGGAGTGAGGGGTTTTTTTCCCGTTGATTTTCAGATAGAGTGGACGGGAGGGGGGAGAGAGAAACATTGGTGTGAGAGAGACACATCCATTGGTTGTCTCCCACAGGCACCTCAACTGGGGGCTGGCCAAAGCTCTAACCACTGAGCTCCCTGTCCAGGGCGCTATTTCATTTTTCAAAATGTTGGTCACTACCCATAAAATTGACTTCACAGAAAGAAAAAAAATTGACTTCTCAGAAAGCACCGCTACACGATGGGAGGGAGGGGAAGTGCCCCCTCCGAAGCAGGAGTTGCGTTCTGCTCCAGAAAGAGCTACTGGGAGGCAAAATAAAAGTCCCCATATCTGCCCGCCCCGCATGGGAGGGGGGCCGGGGAGTCTGTGCTTTGGCCACATCGCTAGCGGGTTGTTCTGATTCAGTTGCGCCCCTGCCCTGGCTAATGACCCGAGTGATGCCGAGGGTCCCCGCGGGGGTGGGGGTGGGGGTGGGGTGGGGGCGCAGCGCGGGTAGGATGGAGGGAAGCCAGGGGAGGGAGGGGAGGCGCCGGGCGGGCTGGGCTGACCTCGGCCCCTTCCCTTCTCCCGCCTCCCAGCCGAGAAGGACCTGGACGAGGCGTACCTGAAGCGCTGGCACCTGGGGGAGGTGCCCCGCGGGACGCTGCCCCTGCACACGCTGCGGCGGCCGGGCACCGGCGGCGGCTACCGCCTGGACGGCTGGGGCGGCGCCGAGGAGCTGGGCCTGGCGCCCGCGCCCCACCCGCGGCGGGTCATGTCCCAGGAGCACCTGCTGGGCGACGGCGGCCGCTCGCGCTACGAGTTCACGCTGCCGCGCGCGCGCCTGGTGTCGCAGGAGCACCTGCTGCTGTCGTCGCCCGAGGCCCTGCGCCAGAGCCGCGAGCACCTGCTGTCGCCCCCGCGCAGCCCCGGGCTGCCCCCCGAGCCCGCCGCCCGCGCCGGCCTGGCCGCCTCGCACTCCAACCTGCTGCTGGGGCCCGGGGGCCCCCCCACGCCGCTGCACGGGCTGCCGCCGCCCGGCCTGCACGCGCACCACCACCACCTGCACGCGGCGCAGCCCGCCTGGCTGGCGGACGCGGGCGGCGGGGGCGCGCTGGCCGGCCGGCCGCCCTTCCAGCGCCAGGGCACCCTGGAGCAGCTGCAGTTCATCCCCGGCCACCACCTGCCGCAGCACCTGCGCACGGCCAGCAAGAACGAGGTGACTGTCTGAGGCCGGCGGGCGGGGTGAGGCCTGGCGGGGGCCCTCCCCTCCCCCCTCGGCCCGGATCCCCCGACACACCCCAGGGGCCCGGACCAGATCCGCCTGCGGCCCTGGCGGCTGCCTCTGATGACACTGCTTTGAATGAACCCGTCATGGAGACCAGGCCTAGAATGTCACAGATGAGATCCCTCCTCCTATGTCACTGTTTGAGGCAAGACCTCCTTCCCATGACGTCATCACGGAGGAAGAGGCTTGCCGGTGAGGTCGTCACTGGCCCAGGCCAAACCTTCCCAGGAGGCCATCACAGGGGAAGAGGCCCGCCCCGAGGTCATCGCTAGAGGCCATATTCCTGATGTCATCACAGACTTCCTTCTTGTGATGTCCTGGCAGAGACAATGTCTTGTCCTATGGCGTCATCCCTGGAGACAACGATTCCTTCCTGTGATGTCAATTCAGAGACAAGTCTCGCCCTTATGACATCATCTCTGGCACCCAAAGGCCTCTTTTGACACCATCGTCCGCAGGAAAATCCCTTCCTCCAGAGAAGAGGCCTCTGTCCACGATGTCATCCCTGCAGACAAAGCCATGTTGCTGGGACGCGCTGCGGGGGAAGCCTCGCCAAGTGTGTCCTCCCTCGACAGAAGGCCTCCTTTCCGCGACATCATCACAGGGACTCCGCCTCCTTCCTGTGATGCTATCACCAGAGAAGGTGCCTTGCCCGATGACATCATCTGAGGGACCGTGCCTCTCCCAGGGGGTCCGTCACCAGAGCTGAGAGCCCTTCGGTGGTCACCACCAGACCCCGCGGGCTCTGAGGGGCCACTGCTGCCGCCACGTCACGAGAAGGCAGGGCGTGCCCGGAGTCCGGGAGAAAGGGCCCTGTCCTGAGACGTCACCAGGGGCCTGCGGTCGCTGGGGAGGCTGCCCAGCTAGCGGTCTCCCCGGAGGTGATGGTCTGTCTACAGGCGGTTTGCAGTGAGGACCCCCACTCCCGCCTGAGGCCGGTGCCAATGCGATGATGTCATCACCAGAGACACTGCCCGTTCTGGAGGGTCATCACTTGTGATGGTGTCACCAGTCTCTGCCCTGTCCCACCGTGACCTCCCCGGGCCCCAGTGACATGCGCTGCGGGGTCCCCACCAGACACTCCCGCTAAAGGGAGGCTGGGCTGGGGTCCCGGCCTTGTGCAGTGCTGTCACCTCCTGCGTGACTCCCGGAGGCCGGCGCCCCCAGGCTGGCTTCTGTTCTCCAGGAGGCTCCTCTGGCCCCCAGCCTCTTGGAGTCCGGAGACTCAGAGGTGTCCCAAAGGCCTGTGTCACTCTCTCTGCCACCCTAGAGACATCATGGCTTCTGTCAACAGGTCCTGGCCTCCTGCTGGGGCCGGGGCGGGTGGGGGTGCCTGCTACTTATCTTACTAATGACATCATCGCACCACAGGACTCCCCCACTCATGATGGCATTGCGCCTGGGGTCCAGTGCGCACCATGCCTGATGATGACATCATTCCCTGTGACCTATGGTCTCTTCGTCTCCCAGGATGCACCACACCTATGGTATCATCCTCTTCCAGGATTTACCATGACCGTGTAGGGTCACCTTCCCCACAGCTTGCCCATGGCCAGTGGTGTCACCATCTTCCATGAGTCTCCACAACCACTGTGTCATCATCCCCGCGGATTCTCCACGGCTGCTGGGGTCGTCACCTCCAAGAGTTCACCATGACCAGTGACGTCACTGCCTTCCAGAACCCACTGTGGCTGACGGCAGCATCCTCTCCCAAGACCCGCTAGTCCCCATAGTTGTGGTGTCACCAACTTGCAGGATCCACATCAACCATGATGTCCTCATGCCCCAGAACCCACCCTAGCCATGGTGTCACCACCTCCCAGGATACACTGCAGTCATGGTGTCACCCCCACAGCACCGTGAGAGTCAGGAGTGTCCCAGGACCCATGAACCCCAATAGTGTCATCTCCCAGGACCCATTTCAACCATGGTGTCATCATTTACTGGGATCCACCATAATCATGACACCCTTTCCCAGGATCCAGAAAGCCCAATGGTGTCATCACTTCCCAGGATCCACCACAACCCTGACATCATCTCCCAGGATCCACCACAACCATGCCATCATCTCCCAGCATCCACCACAGCCATGCCATCATCTCCCAGGACCCACCACAGCCATGGCATCATCTCCCAGGATCCACCACAGCCATACCATCATCTCCCAGGACCCACCACAGCCATGCCATCATCTCCCAGGATCCACCACAGCCATGGCATCATCTCCCAGGATCCACCACAGCCATCCCATCATCTCCCAGGATCCACCACAGCCATGACATCATCTCCCAGGATCCACCACAGCCATACCATCATCTCCCAGGATCCACCACAGCCATGCCATCATCTCCCAGGATCCACCACAGCCATGGCATCATCTCCCAGGATCCACCACAGCATGCATCATCTCCAGGATCCACCACAGCCATGGCATCATCTCCCAGGATCCACCACAGCCATACCATCATCTCCCAGGATCCACCACAGCCATACCATCATCTCCCAGGATCCACCACAGCCATGGCATCATCTCCCAGGATCCACCACAACCCTGACATCATCTCCCAGGATCCACCACAACCCTGACATCATCTCCCAGGATCCACCACAACCGTGACATCATCTCCCAGGATCCACCACAACCCTGACATCATCTCCCAGGATCCACCACAACCGTGACATCATCTCCCAGGACCCAGGACCCCCACTGGTGTCATCATTTACCAGGATGCACTTCACCCTTGGATCGTCTTCCAGGATCCCTCATCTTGGGAGTCGAGAACTGCAACAGCTGTATTTCAATTGTTTTCTGGGTCACGTGGCACCTACCGCTGTTCCTATAGGGAATCAGGCACAATTCTGCCATTCTGCCATTGCCTCAAGAATAGGGTAGGGACCCCCTCCGATGACACCGTCCCCACTCTGGCCCTTCTTGATGTCACTGCCTCACTCCAGACTTGGCCTTGACTGCCCCCCCCCCCCCGTGCCCCATTACCCTTCTGGTGAGGACATCCAGGCCCCTCCTGGTAACTCATTGTCAGGGTCAACACGGAGGCCTCTTCTCACCAGAGGGGGTGAGCTTCCCGGCCCTTGGGTAACATCACTGCCCCTTGCCCAGCCCCTTACCTGTCCTCCACCGGAAGCAGCACTCCGCTGGCGTGGGCCACACCCCCCTCAGAGACTCCTGTGGGCTGGGCGACAGCTGCTAACTTCCCCGGGGCCTTCAGTGACGTCCTCTGCCGGCCTGAGCCTGGGCAGGCCCAGCTGGACGGCCATGCCATGCCGTTGCCCACACCAAGGCCATCTGTGGGGGGCGCGCTCATCATCCCAATTGGAGAAGCGGCGTCCTCTCCTTCATCTCCCCCACGCACCCCGGACAGCCCCCAGGGCTTTCGGGGACTTACCAACACCCAATGCACAATTTGCCCCCAATTTTCTTTGTACATAGCCATGCTGTGGGGGAGCAGCCATTCCCCTACTCTTAAAGGGCTACACGTCCCCTCCCCAGCCCCCAGGGCAAGCTGGGAGGGGCTATTTTCCCTCCTCTGGGTCGTTCCCTCCTTCTGTCTCCCCTTGCCCCCAATACTGGCACCTACTCAGTTTTTGGCTCCCACAAACACTGAGGGAACACGGGGAGCGGTACCCCACCTCCCTAGGCCCAGCGCCAGTTTTCAACGCCATGCTTACAGCTGCTCCCGCGGACCCCCCTGTCCCTCCAGGGCCCGCCCATGCCCAGGGCCCTGAGCAGACTGTGACTTCCCCCCAAAAGAGCCAGCTTGAGCCCTTGCCCCTCCCGGAGCTGCCCCTCTGCTCACCACCCCCACCGAGCCCTCGGCTTTCGCCAGCCCCCTCACTGGGGGTCTCGGCCCTCCAGCTTTTGTATGCCCCCCTCGACTTGCTCTCTTCTGGACTCCAGTTATTTCGCCCCAACAATGGGGCTTTGGCCTCTTATCTCAAATAAGCCATAGTGAGGAGAGGTCCGAGGAGGCGAGGAAGTGGGCGAGTCCCGCCAAATCCCCCCAAGCCTCTGGAGCCGGGGCCTCACCGTCTGAGTCTTCCCACGCTCCCATGCACACACGCGCACCCACACGCACACGCACCCCGCCCTCCCGACCGTGGGCGGTGGGGGGCGGTGCAGAGACAGGAAGATACACAGCCCTGGACCAGAAGACCCTCCCCAGCTCTGCCTCCCCGCCCCCTCGACCCCCCCCCCCAACCGGCACCGGCCTCCCCCGCCCAGTTCCTTGGTGAGGACAGCCGGCTGCGCTGCAAGTTGGTATTTTTGGAATAAACAGATGTTTTCCTGATTCCCAGGCTCACAGTGTCTGTTGGGAAGGTTTGGGTTTCCACCTGCGTGTTTAAGGTTCCCGGGGATCCCCTGTGCGGCCCAGGTGGGGGGTGGGCATCCGAGTGTGTGTGTGTAACCTGCAGCCTGCCGCCTTGCATCAGAGCCTGCCGCGTGTGGCTTGTGTGTGCAGTGCATTTCGGCACCCTGGCCGGTGGGTCAGTGGTTAGAGCGCCGGCCCCGCACTGAAGGGGCTCAGGTTCCATTCCAGGTCAAGGGCAGGGCGAGTACCTGGGTTGTGGGTTCCACCCTGACCTGGATGGGGATCTGGGGCTCACACGGGAGGCAACCAATCAATGTGTGTGTCTTGCATTTATGTTTCTCCCTCCCTTCCACTCTCTCTAAAAAAAATTAACGGAGCCCTAGCCCGTCTGGCTCAGTGGATAGTGTCAGCCTGCAGACTGAAGGGTCCCAGGTTCGATTCCGGTCAAGGGCACAGGCCTGAACTGTGGACTTGATCCCCAGTGGGAGGCGTGCAGGAGGCAGCTGAGCAATGATTCTCTCTCATCATTGATGTTTCTATCTCTACCTCTCCATTCCTCTCTGAAATCAATAATAAAAAAAAATCAATGGAAAAGATATACTCAGGTGGGGATTAACAAAAGCAATCAAACAAAAACCTTCCTCTCTAGCAAATGTTTGCTTCCCAAATAGTCGATTTTACTGTGTATCATTCAGGGTTCTCCAGAGAGCCAGAAACGGGGAGAGGGGAGGGGAGGGGAGGGGAGGGGAGGGGAGGGGAGGGGAGGGGAGGGGAGGGGAGGGGAGGGGAGGGGAGGGGAGGGGAAGGGAAGGGAGGGGAGGGGAGGGGAGGGGAGGGGAGGGGAGGGGAGGGGAGGATTCATTTTATTTTAAAAATATTTTGCAGTTCTGAATTTTTGCTTTACCTTTTCAAAAATGTTTTTGTTGATTTTTAGAGAGGGAGGAAGGGAGAGGGATAGACAGAAACATCAATGAGACAAACACCAATCAGCTGCCTTCTGCACTCCCACTACTGAGGATCCAGCCCCAAACCCAGGCATGTGCCCAGACCTAGACTCAAACTGTGATCGCCTGGTTCATAGGTCGATGCTCAACCACTGAGCCACACCAGCCGGACAGGGCTCCACTTCTTTTTAAACATTATATATATTTTTTATAACATCAGTTTTTGGTTTTTTTAGAGAGAGGGAGAAAGAAAAAAAACATCAATTTGTTATTCCACTTTAAAACATATATATATTTTATTGATTTCAGAGAGGAAGGGAGAAAGAGAAGCATCAATGATGAGAGAGAATCATTGTTCGGCTGCCTCCTGCACGCCCCCTACTGGGGATCCAGCCCACAACCCTGGCATGTGGCCTGACCGGGAACTGAACTTTGACCTCCTGGTCACAGGCTGACGCTCAACCACTGGCTTCCTTTATATCTTGATTCATGCCTCCTACCTGATGACGGCCCACCCTGGCCGCCCAGCTACAATCCTCTCCCCCAGCGTCCCCAGCCCCCCGACCCTGCTTCAATTCTGATCATAATGAACATCTTTTGACGTCATCCCTTCTCTCCCTGGGACGGTCCCAGGCTTACACTGACCCTCTGAGGCCGTGGGCGCCCGTGGCAGGCTATGCAAATCGGCAGAACCCTGCCAAGGGCTGCTCACAGAACCACAGACTCTCTGATCCCGATTCCACTTCTAGGAATCTCTCCTCTGGGAAAGCTCACAGCTGTGCAGGAGACCAACGCTCTCCGTGCTGCCAGCCTCCAGCCGCACCCGGGCTGGCGGGAAGGCGGGGAGCGGATGCTGGAAAGCTGGGCGCAGTCCTGGGAGCAGCTCAGCTGCTCATCGGCACGCACGGAGGCAGCATGTGGGGATGCGGGCCAAGGAGCCTGTGCAACTGTCCAGATGCTCCGGGGGGCGGGCACCTGAGGGGCGCGGGCTGAGGGCCGAGGAGGACTGGAGCCCAAACTCCCCCTCTCCCTTCTGGCTCTTCAGTGACGGGGGCGGGCCTTCCCCTTTGTAATTTCACACAGATGAACAGAAGTGAAGATTAATTTCTGAAGCTAGCATTCCAGCCGCTGGGGCAATTAATTGGGTTTCATTGCACAAAAGTAAGACTGTGAGTCGCTGATATTCCGCCCCCTTCCCCTCCCCATCTCGCCCCACCCCGGTCAATTCCAGTCCCCCAAACGCACTCAGAAGGCCCACCACGGAGCAGCTCCCAGACGCCCCCCCTCCTCTCCAGCCACCATGGCCACCAGCACAGCCTAAGCCTCAACCAACTGCCTCCCCTGGGCCCCCGGTCCAGGCTGGGCCCGGCAGCCAGGGCTGGGGTCTCACTGTGAGCAGCACAGCCACTCACGCCTCCGGGTCAGAACCCCGCCCTGGCTCCCTGGGGCTCCGGTGAGCTCCCCCTTGGCCTGCAGAGCCTGGCCCTGCGTGCCCACCCCCCTTAGCTCATCTCTCCAGGACGCACCCCTGCCGGCGGGACTGCCGGACCAGGCGGTGACTCTGTTAGCCATTTGAGGAACCCGCAGGCTCTTTTCAAACCAGCTGTGTGTGCGGGTTCCAGCTGTGTGTGCGGGTTCCAGCTCTCCCAACACTTACCTTTTATTTTTTAAAGAGAGCTCAATTTGTTGTTCCACTTATAAATGCATTCTTTGGTTGATTCTTGCATGTGCCCTGACCGGGGATCAAACCCGAAACCTTGGTGCATCCAGACAGCACTCTAATCAACCGAGCTACCAGCCAGGGCCTTACTGTGTTGTTTTTTTAAAATACTTTAAAATTGATTTCATAGAGGAAGGGAGAGAGAGAAACATCAATGATGAAAGAGAATCATTCATTGGCTGCCTTCTGCACACACCCCAGTGGGGATTGAGCTGGAAACCCAGACATGTGCCCTGACCTCCCGGTCAAACTATGAGTTCCTGGTTCCTAGGTCGATGCTGAACTACTGAGCCACACTGGCCAGGTCCCTCACCAAATTGCTCTCTCACATCACTGGCTTCTGTTCCCGCCTGAAAGTCAGGTGGCGTCACACCGTCATGGCTCCCCAGCGCTTGGAAGA